TGAGGAACTGTGTCACATGACTCAAATTAATGACCTGAATATTCACATGACAATAACATGAATCATTTATTAACTTCGATTATGAACATACACGTTCAGATTTGTATGTATTTTGTCTGTGTGTTTCACATGTGATAGTCTAGAAGCCCGTTTTTGTTGGTTTTATGTCAAACAAAAAGACGAAATAATACCCTCACACTGCTGTCTCCTTCCTAGTATTTATTTTGATCTCCATAGACACCTGAGGAAGACTGATTGGGTTTGAAGGTGGACTACTTTTTGTCCTTTTGTGTAGATTATTGTTAACCAGCACCTACAAATAATTTATGGACGATTATCAAATACAAACAAAATATATTGTACTATGTATTACCAAATTGTCATAAAAGCAGTGTAATCATGTACAGCATCAAAATCATGTAAGACAAAATACACAAACTAGTTGATATAAATATATACAAGTATATAAATTAAATATTTCATAACATAAATTATATCATGAAAGCATTTTTGGCAGCGTGGCTCAAGGGATGGCAATGTTAGTACAAACTATTTTTTAATTGCCATGAAATTTTGTGCAGACATTCACGGTCCACAGAGGATGAATCCTACTCTATCTAATCCTAGTCATCCCCTGACATTTCTTCCAGTGCCACCATCAAGTTTGTATCTGTGGTTTTGAGTGAAATGTCTCAACAACTATTGGATGGATTGGTACAAACATTCATGTCCTCCCTCAGCATGATTTGCAGTAACTGTGGCGATCCTCTGACTTTTCATGTTACGCCATCATCAGGTCAAAGTTTCAGTTTGTCCAATTCTTTGGTTTACGTCCAAATACCCGCAGAAGCCATGACGTTCCCACCCGCCTCTTCTGCATCTTGTGTTTAGTGCTAATTAGCAAAAGGTAAGTATGCTAACACACTGAGCTATTATTGTGATCATGGTGAACATTGTACCTGCTACACATCAGCACATTGTCATTTTGAGCATGCTAGCAGTAGTTTTGTTTCTATCTAAAAGAAAATCCGCTCTTAGATGATAAGAAATGGCAGGGTGGGCGGTTAAAGAATACATGGACTCCTGTGAGATATGGAATAGCAGTATGTACTCACATGGCTCACTATAAAATGAGTAGTTACCATTTAAAGCATTAACGTAAACCGGGTGTGGTTAGTGATGTGTGTTGACAAAGAAACTATTTTGCATGTACTAAGTCTTTTTTTGGCTTCATATCTGTCTGGGCAGTGCAAAATGAGAAACCAAGCATTTAAAAAAACATGACAAATATTCTGACCAAATAACAGCGATTACCAAGTTGCTACCCATCAACCTGCTGAATATTTATTTTTACAACTATAGCATGATATTTTAGTGGATGTAATTAAATATTCACAAAAACACACTTATGGTTTACCAGATTACTCAGGATATGGAGTACATTCATATCTATGCACACACTGTTATATAGATATTGTTTGATAATTCAGATGTCTGTGGTTAAACACAGTTGAGATTAAATGTACATGTATGGTTATTTATCTGTACGACATGGTGTTTAGTATGTGCTGTACTGCCTGTCGTGGTTACAGGCAAGTCTGTGGAACAGAGAACAACAGAACACAATACAACAGGACTTTTTTTTGTTTTTTTTTTTGGAGAGGGGTTCGTTTACTTACTCTCTTGAGAGGAGGCAGTCAGGTGCTCGAGCAGATCACATCCAAACACCTTCTCTTTGTTTCCACCTCTTCTCCGAACTCTTCGCATCTCTTCCTGTCTTCTGTTTCCACCTCACATTCAGACCGGCCCGAGCTGCTCAGATTGTGACTGTCAGACTGACTTTCTGACTGTCGGCGTGGCTCCTGGGTGTGTTGACCAACTCGGTTAATGTGACAATGACTTTGTAGAGGTGGTGCACATTTCAGAGATTTGACCGTGCTGCTGTTGCTGCTGCTTCTGTTTCCTTTACTTCAGTGCATGGTTGTTGGGTGCAGGTTGTTTCCTCTGTAAGCTGCGTTGCACTGGAGTTCATATGTTGAAGCTGGTATGTTAGGACATACTTTGGTTCATCTTCCACCCTGAAAAAGCAGAAATAAAGGTTTATTTGTGCAAACAGCAGCTTCACATTGCAGAGAACAATCTCCCACCAAAATCAAATAACAAATGGCGATGAATCCTCAGTATGCATATGTGGTTCCTCACTTCCCCCTGATGCACTCAATATATTTTCGAATGAAAGGCCACACCCTTGCCTCTGAACTTCTCCTATTGAGTGAAGTGAGCCTCTGAATCTTTCACTCCGGCCACACTACAATGTCTCTCTGGACTGGCGGACCCACCTAAACCTCCAATCTCAGCTCCTGCCTGAAGACTGACTTCATTACAGACCCGGTCTCTGTCCTACTTGCCCACATGTCATGGCCACCGCGGCCCCTTTTTTCACTGCAGCGGAAGTCAAGCTCTGTTTAAGCCTGAACATATAGACACACACTGACATTCGAACTCGCTGCCCCATCCCCTCCATCTTCCTGACACCTGCCGCTGCTCTGCTGTTGTCCACCACCCCTCCCTGTCTGTCCACTTTGAAGGAAGAGTTTCAGTGTAGAAACCTGAGAAAATAAACAATTTAAAAAGAGAATACGAGTGTCCCTACCTTCACTCTGCATCAGCACGCAAGAAGCAGCATAAAATGATGACGCAAGAAAACCACTAAACTTCCCCTGTTAACTTCCTGAGTGTCTCTCCTTCTCTTGCGCTTTCTCTCTGTATGTGGCCCACGCTTTCTCCGCCTCTGTTGACTGAGTAGGGAAATCAGTTCAGTGTATCTGTACAGTACATCTATTTCCCTTTATGTGCTGTGTTTTTCTCAGTGCAGGCCAAGTTCCTTGTATGTTATTCACCCTGACAGCAAGATATGGATGCTGAATGTAGCTACAGAACAGTTCAACTGAAGAGAAAAGACAAATGTTTGACTCACTTCCTTTGGTTGTGTCAGTTGTACATGTATGCTATGTACCAATACTTATCACTGCAAACTAAAGCATCACACAGAGCCTCAAAGTACCACAAACTGCCACACAGTACCTCACAGCAAATCACAAAGTGCAACGAAGACTCAAAAAAGTACCAATGCAAACAGTCACCACAGTGTATAATACAGATTACTTCAAACTGCTAGAAACTGATACCATCCAGTGCCATTGATTACTACAAATTATCCCAAAGGCCCAGAAATTACAACACAACAGAAACTACAGAAATAGTGTGGGTCCCCCTGGAGCTCCTGAGTCTCATCCTCTTCATGTAGCACACCTGTCATACCCAGCAGCAGCAGCAGCAGCAGCAGCAGCAGAGGCCTAACCATAACCCTAAACCTAACCTAACCTAAGCATAAGCCTAAGCCTAAGCCTAACCCTAAACCTAAACCTAAACCTAAAAATAAATCACAAATAGGCTCCCAAACAGTATCACACTGTACCACAATGCAAAGAGCAAGTATCAAAATTAGCACAAAGCACAGAGAATATGACTACACCACATAGTGCCAGGAGTTTCACAAAAGAAAAACAAAGAAGGCCTGCCATTAAATCCCACAAAGTACAAAAATAACCACAAGGAATCACAAATAACATGACTATAAAAGAGTACTTAAAAAAAATTAAAAACACTACAGGCATACCACAAGTTACCACAAAGTGTAATCCATATATGTGACATTTGGATGCAATGTAATGCTGTAAATTCAATTAGATATTGTTGTACTTTATGATATTCTTTGATACTGTTAAGTATATTATAACCCAGTGTGGTAGTTTGGGCCCGTATCTCTTTCTACAGCATCCGGTTATTATACAGTATTCCGAGTATTTGGCTAGCTGAGGTTAGAGTTTATGATACAAGGTGTTTATAATAATGTGTTAAATCTTCAGATTTTTCAGTGATAGTAATGACAGTCCTCTGCTTGGCAACGACTTACTTCTAAGGCACTCTTTATAAAGTTTTTATAAGTTGTAACTAATGCCTTTAATAAATCATTTACCCATGATTTATAGAGCTGTCATAAGCCATTAATAAGATCAGTTGAGACCTAGACATTTTCCTAATTTGTTAATAAGTTGATTTTGGTCCAAATACTCCATGTTTCCAGAGGGTAGGTCCATTAGTCTTTTTCATAACCTGGCAACTCAATCTGATGTACGAATCATTAGCAAATGAGTCATTAATGGTTTATAACATCTATACCTTGAGGTCCATATCGCTTCTATCAGTAATCCTGCTATTTAAATTTTGCCATACGTGCAAATATCAGTAACACCTTTCTTTTTTATTCCCCCTGTTTAGGTTCATAAACATTACACAGAAAGTTTATAACATACTATAACGTAGTTGTAAGCAGGTATTTGTTTATTAAAGTATATTATAACTCCTATTGTCACCCATATGTGGACGTTGGGGTATAAACAGATAATGAATGACAATGTACTGTAGTAAAACAGAAATTAAATAACAATAAAAATATACTATACTTTCATAAACTTTTCATGTGTCCCTCTATTTGCTTACAACTACATTATAGTGCGTTATAAACCATTAGATGTTGTATCATATGTAAAGTGTTGAGTATCTGTAGTCACCTGGGTTCAGCGTGAGTTCTGACAGTGCGCATGTCATCGCATATTTACGGTAGTACTATGTCACCTGTGGCTGCCAGGGACGCTGCTGTGGTAACCTCGTTTTACATTCCTGCACGTCCCATACGGGCGGCAATACAGTTGAACTAACATCCGACTAACGTCAAAAAAGCACACAAAGACCTTTCGAGGTGTATTTAATTCATGGCAGCAGATGTAGAAGTATGTTAGTTCAAAGAAAAAGGTCGTCTATATTCAATGCGAGGAACAGGAGAGCGAGTGACACCGCTCGTACGAAGCGCAAGGGGTAATAAAAGGAGCGAACCTATCCCCGAACCATCCGCGGAAGAAATTAACGGCTCACTTCCAGTTCCCAACAACGATGAATACAACATTCTGACCAGCAATTTGTGTACGTTTATCCTGAAAGTGGGTCACATACAGGCGTGGATATATTTATTATCATTTTAATAAGAAGCTGAGGTCATTGCAAGATGGAGAACTGCAGCTTCCAGAGCCAGCTGCTGTCCGTCATGGAGGTGCTGGCTAAGGCGGCGGTGGCGGAGATCAACCGGCGTGTGGATGATAGCTGCGCGGTGCTCCGGCTGGAGGTGAGCCAGAGCCGGCGGGACATCGACCTGCTGAAGAGCAAGTGCGAGGTGATGGAGGCAGAGCTGAGGAGGACCAGGATGAGGGCCAGGAGGAAAGGTGAGGAGGGTTGCATGAGATTATTTACTTGTCAAGTTACTGTCTGTAGTTCCTGCTTTTCAAACGTGGAGACATGTGTATCTTTGTTCTTCTTCCTCAGTGTTTTATCCTCCAGCCGGTGAGAGATTTTCTCCTTCAGTCAAAGTAGTTTTGAACAGAGAGAGACAGAGCGCAGACTGGGACAGACAGATGATGGATGCTGAGGCTCAAAATCAACCCCAGCAGGTATGAGCACTGCATCATTTTATTTTGACTGTATATTGATCAGTATATAATCAGTATACAGACATATAAATAAGAACAGAAAATAAATTAATTCTCAGACATGAGAAGCTGAAACCAGAAAATGTTTGCCATTTTTGCTTGACTTTAATTATGTCAATAATAATGTTAATTGTTTTCTATCAATTGATTTATTAACCTCACTCAGTAGAGAACACCCAGGACATCTCTTGGCTTAGGAATCAAACAGTTTGTTCCCATTTGTGAGCTAAGAAGAGAAAAAGTGATTAATAGTTTAGACAATGAAACAGCAAAAACTGTAAATAAATTAATAAATAAAAAGCCGAGGGTTGCAAACGTCCTTTTGTTCAACCAAAAGTAAAAAAAAACAACAAAAATACCTACAAATATTCAGTTTGTAATCAAATATGACAAAGAAAGGCTAAAATCTACAGACATTTTAGCATTTTTCCACTATTCTTGCATGAAAAAGACTCAAATAATGAATCAATTATCAAAAATAGTTACAGATTATTTTTCTGTCAATTAATTAATCAATTAATCAACTAATCAACTAATCATTCCAGCTCCCAGAAATAACTTTAAAACTATAAACACTTGTATGTTACTGTATTTCATTTCTTCATGAAGTTCATTTCTATTTGATGATCATATACTGTATGTGGTCAGTGTATTGTACAAATAGTAGATGGGTTTTCCCTCTACTTGCACAACTGGTGTGTGTTTGTGTATTTATCTGACTCCACAGCGTGTGTGTCGTATTAATGCTGAGCCTGGTGTTGCAGTGTGCAGACATGGAGCCCGCTAATGAAGCTGACCACATACAGATCAAAGAGGAGTGCGCAGAGGAGGACCTGTGGAAGAACGACCCAGAGGACGAACACAGTGAGTGTGAACACTCTTCAGATACACACAGAAACTTCCTTTGCCCGTGTCGACGCTGTAGTCACACACAGTCTCACACATAGGGCTGAGCAAAGTAGTTTCAGGTGATGTTGTTACTCAGCGGACATTGACTGCATTACCTCACCATGTCAAGCAACAGTGCTAAAGATACGTGCTGTGAGAACCCAAGCTCACTGAAAACCTCTACTTTAATATTATATGTGGTTTCCTTGTTTTTCTTTAGTCTCTGGAGCTGGACAGCCGGCGTACTTCAAAACCTCACAACCTGCCCAGACTGACGGCTTTGTGAACCGTTACCTCTCAGCTGAGAACCCAGCAGACCCAGAATCTCTCGTTTCCCCAGCGGACGGCTACACCGCTTTGAAGGAGCAGCAGCTGAACACAAACCAGAATGGGACAGAACTCGTAGTGAAACATGAGAAAGAGGAAGAGCCCGATGAGAACGCAGCTCCTCTCGATTCAGGCCACAAGTTTGTGACGGAGGAAGGTGACGATCAGCTGTGGTCGTCCAGTCTGTGCGGAGATGCCGGTGATCCGAGCTCCTCCTATGCCGGGCAACAGTTTGAGCAGATTCCCACTGTGTTCACACCTCAAAGCGGCCTGCATTTGGAAGATATGGCACCCAGAACTCACTCAGTAGGGAAATCACATTGTGTCACGGTGAATGTATCACGAGCGAAAAGACGAGCCAGAACACTGGGATGTAAAAGACCACAGGCAGATGAAGGACACAGTGCTTTGTCTCAGATTAACTCCGTGGATCAAAGCTCCCTTCCTCAACAATGTCTGCATCAGTACAGAGACGTTGCACCTGCTGTGAGGAACCCGGATCAGGATCCGATGGCGCCGAATCCAGCGGCCTCCTCGCTCTGCGGGCACAGCCGCAGTGGCTTCGGCCTGGCAAGGAGGATGAGGACGCCCTGGAGGTCCGGCATCGGCGAGAAGAGGTTCAGCTGCACGTACTGCGACAAAAGCTTCATGAGGTTCAGTCAGCTCAAAGAGCACCTGAGGAGCCACACGGGGGAGAAGCCGTTCAGCTGCCTGCAGTGCGGCCGGAGCTTCACCAAGCAGTGCAACCTCATCAGACACGCGGTGGTCCACAGTGGAGAGAAACCCTACGAGTGCTCGCTGTGCGGGAAGTGCTTCACCCAGCGCTCCAGCCTCAAGTCCCACCAGAAAACAGCTCACTGAGTTCAGAGTGGTTTATTTTATACATCTGATTCCTGTGTTTGGTAACTTTAAGAAACATTTAACTGGAGCTGGGAAAACATTGATTAAACTGTTTTAATTCTATAATTATTACATTGTCATTATTATGTTTGTTTATTTATTTAATATTATAACATTTGATATAATATTGATATTGTAAAAACAGACTAGTCTGGAATTGTAATACCATAATTAAGCTGAAGGCTGCGGCTAATAATTATTTTCATTATCAATGAATATGAGAATTGTTTTTAAACGTTTTGTCTATAAACGGCCGGAAAATAGACACAAATGTCCATTCTAATTTCAGACACACCAAGGTGACGTCTTCAGATGTCTAGTTTTGTCCGACCAAAACCCAAAGATGTCCAGTTTACTGTTACGTGTGACAAAGAAAAGCATCAAAGTCTCATAACTGTGAATGTGAAACACCATATATTTGATATTTTAGCTTAAAAACAATGATTGATTAATTGACAAATCATTGCAGTTGTAATTTAGCTCAAAGGGCCATACCAGCGTGGTTTTAAGGTTGCACTACAAATCCTATGTACTTCAAATTTTTTTTTTTTAAATGTATGCGGCTGCCCGATACTTAAGGTTAAATACATTAAAATTATTAAAACACGATAAATGGTCAGTATCTGATCTGCAGGAAATGGACTAAGATCTGCAGAACCACTGGTATGGTCCTTTAATTGTGTATCTTCATGTTTTTTAATACTAGTTTGGTCAACATATCAATGTTACTGTTGTTATTTTTAGAAATGATCTTGTGTATAAATATGTTTTGAAATACACCAACAGTCATATTGTCACATTATATTGTAACGTCACAATGAGTTGAGTCAAGAGAAACAGTTTAAAGACACTAGAGGGTAAACCAGACACTGCTGCTGCTATCTGGTTGGACAGAAACCAGCCAGATAGCAGCAGGTGAGCTGGTCAGGCTCTGACACACTAAAACACGACCAAGTCTTTCCATCCATATAGTCCTCCAACAGCTGTTTACCTATTTAATTCTACACAGTATGAAAATTAATTAGCAGATTGAAATTTCCTCAAGTTGTGTAATCCATCTCATTGAAGACATCTTTAAGAAAAACAAACACTTCGCCCTGTGACTCTCAGGGATTACTAATTTGGGGTACAAACCAGGGCCAGGCTGGTCTAAGTAGACTGGTCATATATTTCTTACCTGGAGAAACCATTTGATCAGGATGTAAAGTCTGGATCTTTTGACACCAGTCGTCCACATGATGACTTCAGTCTCAGAACTTGCTAATCAAAACTGAAAGCAAAAGTTTCACATTTATTTTCAAACATATACGATTTTCACTGAAGGTTCACTGAAGTCATCCTTAAAGAAAAGACTAAGAGACGAACTCAAGGAAAACTCAGGGAAGCTCCGTTATTCGATCAGCAAAAACATTTCAATCTGTATTTCATCGAGGGAGGTAACACAAACTTTTTACATAAATATACAAAGGTAAGACATTAAAAATGTATTCTCATAAATATCAAATTAGATCCTTTATCCTGTAAAACAGTGTGGTGAAAGTTACATTTGTTGCATAGAAAGTAGAGACGAGTAGTTAAGAGGAGATCACTGTACAAGTGCATTTTAGTTCCTATTGGAGTGAACAGACTGAGATCAGCAGAGAGTAACATCAGGATCAATACACAAGTGCTGGAGCAGAGGCAAACGCGGTTCATCATGTTTAACGAGTAAAAATCTTATTTTATAATGCAACACACCTTCCAGATGAGACTCTCATTAAAGCTGAAGAAATGCTTTAACCTGTGACATTCAACTCTGCGGTCTCACCCCTTCCACACCTATGAAGCACAGGAAGTGGACAACAGAACAGTGACGATCAAACAGGAAGTCTGACACCAAATCTGCTTAAGACATTCATCGGAGCGTGTTAATAAAAGTAGAAAATGTCATGAGACCACCAATTTATTGAAATGAAAATTCAATCAAATGTTAGCAGCAACCTCATTAGAGAGTGTTTCGGAGTATCAGAGACTTTAATGAAATGTGCTCCACTAACAAGGAAATATACACTGAATTTTAAGGAAATGCGCGGGGCAGTACATGCACCAGTGGTACATTATACGCCACAGTGAGACCAGTAAAGCCTGGGCCTGCAGTCATCTAAGCCCCAGCATCATGTTCAAAAAATGAGCCTGTGGCAGCTTTTTAGACGACTACGTGTGTGTGTGTGGAGTTTCAGCATTAATCACAGTTTGTTTCATGACACTGTTTCATTTGTAGCATTTTGACACTGTGAATTATCATTTTTTGTGTATACTGTATGGTTCATATATAATTCACATTACTGCTGGCCTTTATGTTTATCTTTAGCTACAAGTTCCACATGAGATTGATCTCCCATCTTAAAGGAGCATCCAGTTTCTAGAAATTTCAATTTTGACTTTAAAGCAAGACTACGTAACTTTTGCAGAACATCGGCCGCTTTGGAGTGAACAGTTTGTCTTTTGGCTTTAATTTTTGACAATCATCATCGTGTGTTTAGAGTTGCAAGAGGGGGCTGTTTTGAAAACTCATAAATACTGAAAAATGAAATTGGTGACTCGGCTTCGAATGCAAAAAAAATTTACAAGCTCCGTGTTTGCTGAAAGTTTGTGTGCTGGCTTTGATGTCTCGACAACACTTGCCCGTGAATGCTTTGACTGCTGAAGGGTGTTAGCTTGCTTCATCTGTGGCACTTATGGCCTATGTCATCAAGTAGCAACCAAACTGATGTACTTGAAGTCCTTAAATTCCTAAAACCATCTCCTTCATAAACTCACCACTGTTGATTTTAGGCAGAGTTTCTCCCGTGAAATAGTTCGAGGAGGCATGTTGTTGTAAAACATTTCACCGCTGCAGTCAGGTTTGAGGTTGCTCGGATGGTTTGAGATTCGCCATCTGTCTAATGCGTGTTGTGTTTCAGGCACACATTTATTACGAATCATCTCTAATTCTTTCCACTGAATGTCAGCGCACGGCCTCATTTATCCGAAGGATGTGGACGATGTTTTTTGATTTAGTTTAAAGTACTTGTCTAACAAAAGGGGAAAGTATCAAAACACATTTCTGATTTTTAGACACTCACACATACACAACACAAGGGATCTTCAGTGCCCCTTATCATAGACAAGGCGCCTAATATATGAAACTTTCAAGGAAAAAAATCTACATCATCTCACAATAGTAAATATAAACAACCTTTCAAAAAAATAATCTCTATTCCGAGTGTCCACCGTGTTGATAAAAGCTTCTTTTTTTTTTGTGCTAACACCTTGTTCTGTCACACCTGGGTGATAACAGCTTTGAAAAATATTTATTTATCTAAATTCAGTTGCGTTTGATTTATTGAACATGTGATACATTCACTTGAGAGATAAAAATCAAGTGCTTTTACTTTTCTTTTTACGTTATATTTCCAAAATCTTTGAAATGCGTCCCGGTCCGTCGGTATACCTGACTGTCCTCACAGTCAGGAGTCCGAGTCCCCGTCTCTTGTCCGAAAACCGGCACATCCTCCTCACCGCCTCCCTTCATGTGAGTGTTTGGGTTTAAATCTGTTACATCGGGCAGGTGTCTGTCCCTCTTTCTCCTTCCTCCTCTGCCTCCTGGCTGCAGGAGCAGTCCATCGCCTCCCCGTCCTCCCTCTCGCTGCTGGGGACCACCGTTGACCAGCTCTCCCCCGACAAGTCCTCCTTGTTTCCCTCCTTCCTACCCTCGACCTCTCCATCGTCCTCTCCTCCTCTCTGCCTGCAGTAAGGTGGGATCTCAACCACGACGTATTTCTTCGCCCAGCCGCCCAGCAACGCTTTCTGTCGGATGTCGTTTCCAGTCAGGCCGGCGTCAGACCTGGAGTTAGGCGCTGAGGGGAAAAAAGAAAAAAAAAAAGAGAAAAGAGGCAAAACAGGAAAGAGAGGAGAGAAAAAGTAAGGACAGTAACATAAGTGTTAGATAGGAAAGAGGAAAAGAGCAGAAATACAACAGTAAAAACAAGGACAAATTCACCATTATTATATGATTTCGGAAATTATTTATGTTGGCAAAGTATAAACTAAAATAATATAAGTACTGTAAATTAAGGCAACAAAAACTTATAATATATAACTTCTGCATAATTATACACAAAAACAATGTCTCTGTTCTAAGAGTTGCTGCATGCATTTTTCTGCTAAGGAAAACAACTCATTGCTTAATCTAGTTCAAAGCATCTCATATGTTTCCTTCAGATTTTTAAGTATGATTACTGACAAATAAACATAAATGTCTGCAGCAGCCAGGAGAGCAGGGCTGATCTGTTTCAAGGCCATAGAGGTGCTTCTCAAGAGGAGGAAATCTCAAGGATGAACAATGAATGGACCAAAAGACAGGACACCCCATCATCATCATCATCATCATCATCATCATCATCCCTGGGATGAACTGCCATGCTTCATCTTAAATCACTAATCAAGTGTTTGCCATCATGTGTAGCATCTCTTATCGGTGTCAAATGCAGCTATGAGCTTTTCTAATTACATTAGGCATCAGCTGACTCCAACCACATCTTGTTATGGTACTAGAGGTGTTTTAAGTTGAACTGTATTTATTTTATATTACTTTTAATCATAAGTAATTTTCTATTCTACTACACCAAACACATCAAAGCAATGTTTAGGTTATCTGTGTTTTTCTAACACTATATGTCTAAACAAGATGCACTTGCATTGCCTGGCGTCCTGCCATGATCTCAATGACAAAGAAAAACAAAAAACCAGACACGTATGCAAGTACTAGCAGTTTGTCATCAAGAATCAAGTTTCAAAAAAAGTCACTTTAGTATGCATATTTATGCAGCAAAGGACACCGAAATCTAAACAGATCATCTACTCCACATAGAGTACCTGTGGTGTAAGTATGAAGTTTTTCTACCATGAATCGTTCTCGAGTTATTGTGTTCACAATCATGTGTTTACAGTGTCACAGAGTAACAGACGCCAGCATGACATATTGAATACCTCTTATTTTCTAATATTTATATGACAGTCACTTTTTTTAAGGAGCAAATTTGCCTAATCAACAACATATTTGGTAATAATAGAAATTAGATTTGTGCAAATGTCACAAACACAGTTCAAAGTTGTATATTTGTTTAGTTTTTCATACAGTGGTAGATTTTTAAAAAAATAAATCTATGCCTGTGTCTTAGTTCCTTGGTTAGCAACAGCTTCCCACTGCCACCACCCGCCAAGAGCCATGTACATGTCCTCATCAGACAACTCACCTGGAAGCGTTGTGGACAGCTGGCTGGAGTTACAGGTAAGAGACCCATTGTTGTTGGAGCTGACAGCAGCAGCGAGGTGGAAGACCTCGGAGCGGGGCAGTTGGGGGGACACCGGTAAGGAGTGGCACTGTCGTCCTGGCAGCTGCTGCCAGTAGTAAGACGCCTCCTGTTGCGGCCCCACAGGTCCATGAGCAGGTGGCTGGTTACTGAACACACTCCCCGGAGGTGAGTGGAGGTCGAACACCAGCGAGAAGACAGACTTGCTGGGCACATCATAAAACTTGATCTTGCCCCCGCACAGGTCCTCTCGGGCGGTGAACGGGTTGATCTTGCGGGCTTTGGATGCTCGCTGAGTAGTGGGTGGGTTATAGTAAGGGTCCTGGACGTTGACTTTTCTTATTGGTTTGCAGGAGAAGATGTCCGATTGGCTGCGGCTGAGCCAGATGTTGCGCCGGGGACGGGGTGATTTCGGCGGGATTTTGTCATCCTGGAAACCGAGAGGGTTCAGCCGCTTGAAGCCTTGGATCTTTTCACCTTGAACAAAAAGACAGAGCATCGTTTTGTGACGTCCTTAAGTGAAATCTACAAGATATAAGTCTAGAGGTGTATCTTAGACTTTGAAGCGAAATAAACAGTCATAGTTAGATATCTTTTTCATAGTGATAATCTAATGTAACCACTAGGTGGCACTACAGGCTCAATCCTGCATAGAGTAGCTATGAGTTCCTTGAGTCCCTGTTCTTCAAATGTTTCCTGTGATACTACAGCAGATTGTTTTCCTCTTAAGTTTGTTGACTTTAAATTTTTTCATAAACTTCATATAATAAGAAGTATTAGTGCCGGTAAAGTCCTGGAAAATGATGGATTTGAGGATGACAGAAACGGAGGAAAAAGAAAAAGCGAAAGTCTTGCAAACTCAAGTTTCCAGCGATTGTTCACATTGTTTAGAAACAAACTTTGCTCACATAAGCGCATAAATAGTCGGAGGTGGACAGAGAGGGAGGGGGCCGGAGAAGTTCATGACATTACAATCGACAGCAGACGAGGAGCCAGATCCAAGTTATGTTTTCCACACAATAATAGACTCATGAGGGGTATTTCTTCTGTCAACAGGCTCGGACTGTGTTTTATGTGTTCCGTCTACAACACAACAGCAGATCAGACAAACCACATTTGTAACTAGTGTAAATCTACCCTGCATCCCGTGACATCATATGTTCGTGCTCTCCTTCTTCACACTGTGTTGTTCTGAGGAAAAGGAGCCGTTTGGCTCGTCTAAACAAAAACATTACAGCCTCCTGACTTCATGATGGTCAGACGTGCAGGCGGCTGTTCGCTGGACCAAATTAGAAGTGAAACCTGGGCCTGCATGGATCAGGTATCTGAAAATAGGAATGTTGATCTCAGACCAGTTTTCCTCTTCAAGACAAGATGAAGTTTATATTATCAGTAACCAAGGATTCTGGGCCAGCACTCGTGTTGCAAAAATGCTCCATGAATAACTTACTAGGGTGCAAAGAACAGGGGATACAGATATCACAGTAGAAGTAGGGATATTACTCTCCTGACTGTCTGACTAAACCGAGGTTAGGTTTCTCTGGGAGAGGACAGTGTAAACATTTTGCTTATTACTGACTAACTGGACAAACATGGGATCAACACTGCTTTGCAAGAGTAAATGGTGAGGAAATGGGTTTCTGTCAGGCTCACCACTGACTGGAGAACAAGCGAAATATTGACTAGCTCACTGGTTGGCGATCGGACTAGATTATAGAGTGCAAGCGGAGCCTGTAGAGGCTTCTGTTGCCAGTTCCCTTCCGACCACTTTCCTTTGACAGGAATTTACTAGCATCCTCTTGTAAACAATAGGAGCTGACTTTTAAAGACTGTAAAGCTAAAGCGGAAATGACTTTATGCGATTTTGTGCAGTGCCGATACCTTTGGGTATAGTCTTCTTGTCGTTGTCCCCACTGAGCGGGACACACTCCTGCTCCATCTCTTCAACTTTAAGGCGAGCAAGAATCTCCTCCAGGTGCCTGACGATGTCTGGGAAGGATGGACGGAGTTTAGGGTCCATCTGGGGGAGGAGGAAATGAGGATATGGAAAAAGAATGAGTGATTTATACATGGTGACGTATTGTAGAGTCAGAGATAGACTGTTCATATTAGGTTATTACCAGGGAAACATAACATAATAATTATTAACATAATTACCTAACGGTATAATTTACATAAACCAACAACACCAGAGCTGATGCCTCCACAAGCCTTGACACTGTGTTTCCTTTGTGATATGGTACAAAGGATGAATGGTAGTGGTACAAATGCAAAGATAAAGCAAAGAGGCAGACATCTGCCGAGGCCAATGTCCAACAATGTACACCAGGCTTCAGAGAAAAACATTCAAATTCATAGTATATGATCTGGATCTGTCTCAAAAGTGAATGGGTTTTCCCTGGCCTGCGCCGCATTCCTTCACTAAGTTTGGTCCAAATCGGTTCAGTATTTTTTGTGTAATGCTGCTGACAAATAAACAGATGGGCGAAAACATAACCTCCTTCCTGGAGCTACTCATTGTGTCAGTTACATTTTCAGATGTCTTTAGCAAAAATATCTGGGTGTTCTTTCCTTGAACAGGGATATACTGATGTTCAAAATGTGAGATGGGAGGAAGGAGAAACATTTGGGGCTGAAGTTGAAGATAAAAGAAGAGAAAATTGTGAGGAATTAAGAGAGGTAGATAGATGGTGTGGAAGAGGTGGGAGATGGAGAAGGGAGACAGGCTGCAGGGAGGGGGAAAGAAAGTGGAAAAACAAGATGGGGGGAAAAAATGTGGCTAAAAGACACAAAGCTAACTACGAAGTGCAAAGAGACTGGAGTCAGATCCAAGAAAGAATCTGTAACACTGACTATTTAAAAAATGAAATTCAGACAGGGGTTCTCTGGAGAACGACTTGGATTGAAAATAAGGGAGACAAGGATGATAAAAGCATCACAACAGACAAGGATGAGCAGGGATGGAGGGAGCCAATCTCGGCTCAATCAGCAGGGTGCTCCAAAAACTTTAATGCTCTCATCCTCTGTGGTTTGTAATTATATTAGAGAATAAAAAAAAAATTTTTTAAAAATCACAATTCCAGTCTGAGCATTACAACTGGATAAATCTCATGAAAAAAAACATATCTGTTATGGTTGGTTTGACCTACTTATTATTCCTTTTACTCCCTATTTCATCAGTTAATCAATTTAACAACAAATCAGTGTATGGATGTTGTGAAAAGGTCAGTCTGCCAAGTAACTGATCCAGCTTTTAGAGAATAGAAGACCCCCTGGATAGTGGGCTAAATCAGATTATTCGCATAATCAGATTGCCGCTCTATTTCTGATGACTAAAATAAAAGTTACTTAAGAAATTAAAAATGAAACAGAAGAAATTGTAGAAACAACCGAGGCAGACACACACGTGTGTCTTGGATGTAGAAAAGTTCGTCATGAACACCTCATCAAATATCACTATTCCGATTTGAGAAAAAACGGACACAGAGTGGACAGGACAGGAGTGTGGTGGGCTCACATTGCAGCAGTTGAAAGCCAGCTGGAGGAAGTCAGGCGGACAGTCTCCAACCATGTGCTGGAACGTGTGGTAGTCCAGGCCGAAGTTCTGCTCAAGAGGGAGAGACAAAGAGGTTTGAATGTACAGTATGAAAGTTAAACAGGAAATTCACAGTTACCTCTCTGACAAGAAAGATAAAGCGATAGGCAGAGCTTCATCAGATGTTTTACTCACTGTTACTCTTGTGCCAAAGCCAGCTTCACATCAAACTAATCCCTCTGACATGGTCCTGCTGACTGCCAAGTGGACTATCAAGGTCTAATAACCAAAGTCTCATTTCTGAGCTTGGATTCTCTTGTAAAGCCTGGTTTAAATGTTCAATCCACACGGCAATGCAAGGGATGATCCTATTTAACAGTTATCATGCTTTTCAATTCACACTGAGTTCTGCATGGCAGGTAAGGAAGCCTACATTAGACTGATTATTCCACCCCAAATCTTTAACAACACAGACTGTGGGTGTGATTTCACATTAGGGTTTCTGCAGATTTCAACAACTTACATTTTGTATTTTCAATGGCAGTTACAATAAGTTTGTAAACTAAACTGTAGATGTTCTTAGCTCCTAATAAGACGACAACTGTGTGCACTGAACTGAGTTTCTGCCCATCTATATTCACATTAGTTAAGTTTGTTAAGTTAATATAAATATAAACTTGTGAGTATTACTTCCCATATGAAACAAACAAAATAATGACAAGGTACAGCAAATGAACTACTTCTAAATATTTAAAGTTCAGTTATAATTTCAGCAGAATCGGATGGACAAACATTTCAGCTGTATGTGTGTCATGTGAATGTTCCACGGCGTAAACAGGGTGAGGATTATGGGATACCAAGAGATCAACCTGTATACAAAGCAAACAACAGGGTGAGAAAGAGGTGAGATGAGTAGTCACCTCCGTGCGGGGTAGGAAGTCAGGGTCAGCCTGGATCCTTGCAATGATCTCACACAAGATTATTCCATAGGAGAATACATCGGCCTAAAAATAGATAGACACAAAAATGAACACAAACACAGATAAATGCAAACTGTTTAAGTTTTTCTTCATTCTGGGAAATTCCCTAATATTAATTCACTTCTTACCTTAGTTTCTTTCCTTCCTGTCTGTAATACAACTCTCTAAATTCTACATTCTTTCTAGTTTTTCCAACCTTTGTTACAAAGCAAACTAATCTAATGTTTAGTATATTTGAGTTTATTTTCCAAATCATCTTTACTAATGCCACTACTTGGTATTAACTTTTGCAAAGGTCAAAGGTCAAAGCTGGTGACTTTACCTTCTCATTGTAGGGTTCATCTCTCAGCACCTCTGGAGCCATCCAGAAAGGAGAACCGACAACCGAGAGCTTCTCTCCCTCGGCACTGAATACAACACACACACACACACACACACACACATACACACGTTTGACAGATTATATGCAACATGTCATCAAAATGAGGAAGTCATCCGCGCCAGAAAGTTCAAGCAACTTGAGAGGCTTTGAGCTGACTCCTGGACTCTGTGTTCCTGGTTGAGTAATATAATAACACCATGTTTACACAGAGCATCTAGCTTGAAGAAAAGTCAGAGCATATTCACTATCGGTTTGTGTGTAAACCTTTCGAGCCGGAGAAACGTTGGTTTGAATTAATCCTCTTCTGGCCAATAGCACCACCAGGAGGTGACCCCTGACCTGACCCTGTCCTTGTTATGTGTAAATAAAAGATGTAAGCAGCAGGAGAAAAAAACACAAGGGTGGGCTTTCCAATAACTGCCTGCTATTGCACCTGTGTTGACGTGTTAGCACTTAATAAAAAAGTCTGTTTGAGAGCTTTTGAAGTCATTTCTCCAGACTGACTTTGTAATGTTAATATGAACAACCTGATAGATAAAAGAAGCTGAGAGAAGACAACAGTGCAAACAGGCAAATATGAAAGCTAAGCCAACTCTAGTCAGAATTAGCCTGTTGCTCTGTGTGTTTACCCTCTAGCTAAAGCATAACTGCAGCTTTAACTCGTACCAGGCTTCAATCTGTTTTAAAAAGACGGTAGATGGTGTGTATAAAGAATCTTTACTCTCTAATCCTTTCAGTTCTGTAGCTGTTGCTCTGTTTGGATTTAGACTGGGTGACAGAGATCTTGCATCTCAAATCTTTGTGTGCAAAGAAAATGTGTCATTTCCTGACAAATCACACAAATCGTGTGAGTTTAAAGTGTGGCTATATTCTGTGCATTATTCAAACATGTTTGCATGCCCACCTCCTCATGCAAAGACATACAATCATTTTATGTAAGTGTAATTCACTCTGTTCCTTAAGACAAGGCCCCTCCTTCTGTGTGCTGCTGCAGCATTAGAAACTAGAGCCCTGCACTGATAGTATCCTCCTGTTATCAAAACACTAAAGCAGAGAATGTAATCTGTACAGCCTGCGGTTGATGTTAGTGGCTGACCCATGTGTTAATAAATAACCCTGCGCCTGGTCTGAGGAGGAGGGAAAAATCACTTAAGTGAGTTACAAATAGCCACAACAGCAAAAACAGAAAAGAAAACATTCAAGTGGAGAGCAAGCATGGAGAAAATGATCACACCTGTGCTGATATTCTGTATCTGCACCAGATGTAACGCTCCATATTTTGACAGGTTTTTTTTCAAAGTGTTAATGAGATTTATTAAGATATTGCTGCTAAATTATTAACAAAACAACTGTGTAGTTATAAAGCAAGCAGGCACAGAACATCATTAGCATTCACTGTGAGTCATGTATCATCTGTCGTCCAATATTCACTCTCCTTTCAGCTCTGGTTTTCTGAGGAATATATCTGGGGCTTTAACTGATACATGCTCGACTTTGTTCATCAGCCACTCACTAACTGTTTGCTGTTTGATGATTGGCAGGTGGTGTACATGAGGTATTCAGAGAGGGGTTTTTTTTTTGCAGGAAATAGCTACCTACAAGGGACAAGAACAGCTGTGACACAACCACATAAATTAAAACAGACAGCTACAAGAGGCTACAAAGCTCTGTCAGAGTTGGGTGATAATTTCCCAACAATTTTAACACATTGAGCAGCCTCTTTTCACTCTGCATACTCATTAGGTTAGATTAGATGTTATTATTTATTAACTAATAAGGATGTAACACTGGGTATATGTATGTAGAGCAGTGATCAGTGGAATACTCCTTACAGATTAGTGGGGATCTTCTCCGCCAGGCCAAAGTCTCCCACCACCGCTGTGTAGCCATTTTCATCACATTTGATCAGGCAGTTCTGTGAACACAGAAAAACATTATCATCATTAACACATTTAGCTGAGGAAGTTGCAACACAGGGGGATTAAAAAAAAGCAACACTTTGTGGGCTTGGCAACATCAGTCAGACCTCTACTTCCTAGTTGAACTTGGACTTAAGCCTTCAATAACAGTTCACTGTACATTGTTATTCTGTGTACATCAGAAAAGAGGAACCAACAAGACATTTCAATATGCATTCCTACAAAGTTTGGACTTTTCCTCTTCACTCTAAAATTAGCTATTTCTAACTCAACAGTTACCATTTGTTGCAATATTATCCAAGCAGTGTTGAAATGAAGCTGTACAGAAAAGTACCTGCATCCTGACATCATCTGCACAACCTTGCGTAACATTACAGTTAAACTGACATTTGGCAGCCACGGATACTGAGTTGAGCTGAACCTTGCCCTTCACTCCTTGTACTATGTGGCATTATGTAGTCAGCTGTAAGTGCTGTGAATATGTCTCTGTGCAAATGCCTAATTGGGCATGGGTATTTCCTCTAAGCTTTGGAAATTTATATCTTATCACTCCTTTATAAAGGAAGGGTACATCAACATGTAGCTCCCTAAAAATACAGCATATCTATAACACAGGATAAAGTAACAGTTGGAAGGAGAGAGTGTTTGGAAAAAGTATAAAGCATGAAATAAAATATAAAGAAAAAGAGAGAAAGCTGCTCTGTTTATTGACTTTCAGGACGGAGGTATGAGTCATGAGCACTGTGTATTAATTTGAGGAACTATAATCTAGAAAGGCTATGAAAACATTATTCAACCCCCAGTATCAGCTTGTTGTTCTCTTATCTGTTCCAATGAAAGATTTCACTTAAAAGCATTGCTTTCTGTGCACTTTCGTATTCTTCTGCAGATGACCACCTATAATCTTACACAGGCAATGAATGAAGGGTTTACAGCAGAGTGCGTACTGTCCCTGCTCCATGCCAACATGGCTCTGGGTCAAGTTGGAAAACTAGAGGCTGCCTGGTACAGATTATCACATCTGACAGTGACGCTGTGTTCCGTACAGAGAGGTTAGCAGGTCTAAGACTACAAGAACAGATAAGTGTGGCAAGACACGAATATCTATAATATAATCTAAACTCCAAGCCTGACGTCCAGAGGTCGCTTCATTATTCCAGTCACCAAACAGTATTAATGCACTTAGAGCTGTCAAAAACCAGCTAATATTTGAATATCTTAAGTACAAAAGTCCTGGGCCATCTAAAACCACTGAAGAAGGTAAACACAAAATCAACATTTGAACTAATCTCACTGTATTCTTCTCGACACAAAATGCTTGTAATAAATTTTTTCAACAGACTTATGGAAAAGATATGTTGTTAAAATGTAAAAATGTTAAAAGATGTTTTTCAAGTGATGCTGCTTTAATACAATACAATAGCAAAAATATTATACATACACATAATAAAAATACAAACGTACAGCCACTGCTTTGTTGTGCTGGGGACACAAGCAGAGCTGTAGTCTTATTTTTAGCTACGGTTTCTCCTCTTAATGACCAATTAGCCTGTCTGGCTAGCTAACCTTGGAGGTGAGGTCTCGGTGGAATATGCCTTTAGAGTGCAAGTAGGCCAGACCGCTGGCGATCTCGCTGGCCAGTTTCACCCTGGTGGGCCAAGTCAGGTGTTTGTTGCTGTCGAGAAGCTGCTCCAGGTTTCCGCCATTGATGTACTGGAGACAGAGAGAGATCGACGCACAAATGAATGAACAGGTGAATACGCTATATTGGCACTCAAGCACATGAACGTAGCGCTTTACAAGCAGACCAACGATAAACAGTGATAAACATGTTTTCATTTGTTCCACATCCACACCACTCACAAGCTTCACAAAGTCTTCAACAGACAAGGTCTTTCATAAAGCCACAGCAACAGTAGGTGTAAGAAGAGGGAGAGTTAGAACATCATTTTTTCTGAGTCATTACATTCATGCTGGATAATTCTGCTCCTCTGCACCTGATTTACATCCAATGCAAACATGCGATGTCAGTTCAGGAAGTAGTGTGTCCTTTATGTAACAAGGCATAAATAAACAGAGTTTGTGTCCCATCACAGACCTGCAATTAATGTTTACACTTTTTGATCAACCATTACCACAATATTCCCTCACCTTAACCACACCCTAGTCACCAAAGAGGGTTCAGAGTGTTCAAAGGTGAGGATATACGTACATATTCAGAGGGTAAAAAGGTTTGGTGATGGGTAAAAGAATGGTGATGGGTAAAAGAAATGAATCTAGGAAATTGTTTAAATTTGAATGTTAACAGCTACAGAAAAAACTGTGCCGTAAAGCTTCCACAAATTCAAAGACATTACGTGTTAAACAATAATTTATTAGTGACATTAAATGTGAGGAGATGTCAAATGACTTCTCACAGGAATTAAATGTGAGAAGTTTGAACTCAGTTGGTGTGACAACTCTAATCATAGCAACATAACTCTCTGTTCTCAGTGACAGAAAGAACAGACCTGAGAATTACTTGGTCAAGTGGTGTGCTGACTAACCCGCTCGCTACCTGGCTAAAAATATACAGACAAACTACATAAAAGGTACTGCTTAACTACATTCTGCGAACCAACTGCCTGACGACCGATGGCTACAGACAGCCTACCTGTCTGCCTGGCAGGGGTATCAAACAACTGGCTGAACAAAATTTGGCTTGATCTCTACAGAGCAGCTGCTCTTCTACATGAATGTGGACCTTCTGACCATCGTTCAGGCTGAAGAGTGGGCAGCCAAGAGGGCAAATCAGCTCAGCGTGCTGGGAGGGTCCTTTACTGCGCCTGTCAGCTTTGATCCAGAAGAACTTGTCTGACCTTGCCGGTTGCATGCAAACACACACTAAATCCCATGTCGGATATCACGAACAACAGTGGTTAACTAGGGAGAGCTGAGATGGGATAAAGAGATGGTCCGGTTTAGTTCTGGTTATTGGTTATGGCTGACAAGCACGGAATTAGGACAAAGGGGGCTGATGGTGAAGAGAGGAGGGCTCTACTTCTTCACGCAATGCAATAAACTGGGCTTCTGGTCAGATTAATTCTAATTTTCTGCTAATCTTAAATTGTAACAATGTAGAACTCTGTATGAAAGGGGCTTAAAAAGATGAAACTAGACCAAAACAGTTTGTTTTCTATCAGCTCAACGATAACAAATTTCATTATTTACCCTAAGCTGTGTATGATTTTTCCAGAATCACATCCACAGTCACACTACCACTTATCGAATATAAACCGCCGTGAGGGTTCAGCTTCCACAGAAAGATGAAGTGTTACAACATCAAAAGATACAGACTGTGTTGAGTTTTCAATCGAGTATTCTTCTGTAAATAAAAAGTCTTAGAAACAAGTAAATAATTGGTTCAGTCTGGATGAGATCCCAGGATATTTGACAGAGAAAATCTATCATGTTAAATCATGTTAAACTCAATGACATGCAAACATGTCAGCGAGAAATAAGGAAGCTTAAGTTGTTGTAAGTATGTCATATAATGTTTTTACATTTTAGGGAGAGACTTGGCTGTTTGTTACAGCGCAAATAAAAATGTCAATGAAAACAAATCTCATTTGATAAATTGTGTAAATAAGTTGTGTAGTGTACCCTAATAAAAATAATAAGTCACTGGCTATTATCTAACATGTAATTTACATTCTGCATCATTTACTCCTACAACAGTTTTTCAGCCATGTATTCTATTTAAATGCGATCCAAGGTAATGAAACATGTATTCATTTTCAATCCTAAATAATGATCTTAGTAGCTGTTCTGTTTCAATTTTAAATCCTAATCAACCACTCAGAGACAATAGTCCATTACAGCTCATGGGGTAATCAGATAATGGTTTATTGCTATTATTTTGAAATTCTACGTCAGTCTGAGGACTCACTAAAGAAAGTAACACAATGTTTAAATAGTCTGGGGACTTGTAGAGTAAAAGGATCTGTGTACCTGTGCATATAGTGTCAAAGTCAAATCCCCACCCCCAAAAAAGGCTGAGCTCCCTTTAGCCTTGTACCCTCAAATGTTCTGTCTAACACACACACACACACACACACACACACGCATATAAACACACACACATAAACACCCCATTTCAAGATGTCAGAGGATTACAGTATTTGTCCAACAAATTCCTCAGTACAGCTACAGATTTCAACATCTGTTGTCTGCCTGGGGAAAACTCCACTGGAGACAATTAAAACTCAGACTAATCCAACTTCCTTCCTTTATTATCTCATTTAAGATGTAGATGGAGCTGATTTTATCCTCACATTGACCGAATATGCAGCGAGCGCGGTGCGTGCCTGGTCCAAAATGCAAATCACATGGTTTAAGCGGAGGAGTGCACCTGCTGTGTCAACTTTAAGTAACTGAATGGGAATAAAATCCCATTCGAAAAAAAAAGCCTCTTACTCCGGCATGGCATTTTCCCCTGGAATTTGCTTTATCCTATTCGTGGAGTTACTGATAACCACAGTAATTACTTCACATAGCACATGTTTCAGCCACATAAGTGCCTCGGCTTGATCACGTACAATGTAGAGTGGTGAGGAAATGAAAAACATACGGCAACTGTAGTGGAAATTGCTCAGCTTCACTGTCTGTGGTCCAGGTTAAAAACCCTGGAGAGACTCAAACAAAAGATTCTTTGTTTGCTGCTGGGAACAGCTTCAAACAGCAGTATAATCCTGCCATGGGTCATGACTTACCATTAGCCCAGATTATAATTGCAGTAGCATTTCCTATAAGGTGCATTAAATTGAGATTCAGCAGAGACAGAACGAGGTTCAACACTTTAAATCATTCTCTACATCTGACAGAGTCTTCAAGGGTTCATTCTCACTATGATACATTATACTGGTGCCAGTCTGTCGTGAAATAGTCCTGAGTACCTTGACAAGCTAGTTAACTATTACACAATTTGTAAACTTATAGGTTTTATCTTAAGTAGGCCTTGCAGAACCTGACATAAAAAAAACCACCAGCATATACCTATAATACACTTTATACCTGCTATACTTTACTTTATTTACACTATGTGAGATGTTTTGGAGAAGTGTAAAGTGTTATAAAAACGTACAACTACGGCTGTACCTACTGTTAAAAGCAACAAACAAGTTTATTAACAGTCAATGGAGGCCGTGCTGCTCAGTTCTAACGCTTCTTGACTGTGGCTTCAGGTTCATTTAGTAAATGTTTAGGGGAAAGATACTTCACCAAACAGTTTTGTTTATTTTTTCTGTTGGACTTGGACTTATGTGTGCTTGCCTGTGTGTCTGCATGTGCGTCTGTGTATGAGAGAGTAAGGTGAGGTGGCTTGCGGCCATGCAGTAACTTTATTCTCCATTTCCTCTGAGCACGGCCTCATAGTAGGGGTCAGGTAACAAAACAGCATGGGCCTGCTAACAGGGTCAGAGCATTCAGTTAGGTCCTGACATGACACAACAGGATCTGTTTACCCTGCAGCAGGAAAACAAGACCAACCGCAGTGAGCGTGCACATATGTGCGTCTTACAATAGGTGGATTCGCTTTGCAACTTGAGTGTAGGAAAAAAAGTTATGTGTGTATGTAAGTTTCTTAAAATGCGTTCTCTTCTGTAACTGCAGAAGGTTGGTGTTTGTCTTTGTTTGTCAAGGCTACAATAAGCTAATTCACTGTGCAGCGCAACAGTGTAATCAAGCACACATGTGCGCCTGGAAGGATCTTTAACACCGTTCAACAGTGTGGTCTTTCTTCTGACTGGGATGAATCGTATGTTTTGTACCGTCTGTCCACGTTTACATGTGTTTGACCATTGCATATGTGTTCAATTACAAGCGTGTCTGCAGAGATGCAGCTTAAGTCGCTGGTTGAACTGTTGAAGTGTACTGAATGTGCGTGTGTCTGTATGTACTTGTACATGTGTGCATCTGTAATGAATGTGTGTAAAACCACCATCATCCCTAAATAAAAAAAAAACAGAATTTGTGAATCAAGCAGCTGGGAAACATTGCAAGAACTTTGAGCTGCAACTGAAGATTATCTGATGATTATTACTTGACTAGTCATTTAGTGCATAAAGGGCAGAAATAAAATAAAAAAATACTCATCACAATTCCCCAGAGCCCAGGGTGACATCTTCATCTTTTTATATGTTTTCATATATTTGTCTGACCAGTAGTCTAAACTTTACTATAATGCAAGACGAGGAAAAGCACCAATTACTTCTCACACTGGAGAAGCTGCAGCCAGCAAATCGACTTATCAATTAATCAACTAATAGTTTCAGCTCTACAAGACATTTTCATTTATTTTAGTATAATTGTCATATCTAGAATCCATCATTCAGCAATGTTTCCTGTTTCCTGAAAGTCAAATAATAAATTTTTTTTTTTTTTTTTTTTTTTTTTACAATTTTCAATTTTCAATTTTACCTGTGGTCTTGGGAAGTTTTATTAATCTAATATATCAACTGCTAATCAAGCATTTTCATGACTAATTAATGACTATTACAACCACAAAGTCTCTCCCGCTCTCCCTCACACACACAGACACACAGAGAAACACAGAGGAACATAGACAGGTTAAATATAGGTTATGCGCAGCCTGAAGATACAGTATTGCTCACCGTCACTCTAATGGTGAATGTCCTCACATTAAGTCTCTCTGGAAGTTTTATTAGCTGCCTGTATCAAATTTTCCCTCTTACAGAGACACACACAGCCTAAGTGTTATGTATACATAAGAACATTCAGTTCTTGAGGTGTCCTACAATTACAGACTGGTGTGTTACTGTGTTGTGTTCATGGATGACGTGATGTTCACCTGAAAACAGTAGGAAATTATATACAAACACACACTCAGGGCTCACATTTACTAGTAGACACAAGAAGAAACTGGAACATATTTTAAGCCTATCTGTATCCCACCTTTCATTAGTAGAAACACTTTGATCTCACACGTCATTGTTTTTTTGTTTTTTTTTTTTGCTTTAATGTGAGATGGTGTGTTTGTGTGTGATCTCCTACCTCCGTCAGAGCATGAAGCTGTCCCTCGTGGACACACACTCCCTTGAACCTACAAAAACAACATAAGACATGCAAAATGAAGGTATTGTTGAATAATGCAGGACATTTGTTGTTGATTTGTATAAAATGGCTTAAATCTGTCTTATCTACTTTTTCACAATCTGAACAAAGGTGGAGTTTCCTAGTTCAATCACTTGCTCTGTAGGGTCATAGTTTAGTTTAGATTAAAATAAGATAGAAATGTGTTAACAAAACACCTGCATGGTCTTCTCTGCTGTTAAGAAAAAATGTGAAACTCCACTGGGCAAGACCACACAAGCCATTACTGCGAGACTGTCTGTTAACAGAGGGAAAATAACAGCTCAGTTGGTTCATCAGCATTCCATCCATTTCTGCCTCCACCTTTCCCATCATTAGCAATAGAGAGAAATTGCCTTTTCGTTTGAGACAACACTACTACTACTACTACTACTACTTTTGACGGGGTTCATGAGCCCAAAAGGTTGGAAAATATCTTTAACTCAGAGAGGACGCATGCACTCCTTCAATCAAAGTGAAACGATGTCAGTGTGTGTGTGTGTGTGTGTGTGCGTCTAAGTGCGTGCGTGTGTGTAGAGTAACATATGAAACAACTTTGCTCATGAGGAGCGCTGAAGGCCTCATAATTCAGGAGGCAATGAAAAGGTCAACTTTGTGGGTCCTTGTTAGATTTTAGCTAACAATGACCCCCTCAGTGCCTGCTTGTTAACACACAGACAGACACACAATCCACTCGGCATGCTCAACAAAGATGGCATTGTAAAAAGATACGGTGCATGTGTGTGTGCACAAATACACACACACAAATATTTACGCACGTATGTGCGTGTTCATAAACACGCACTCTCCCACTTAGGAGCTCGGAGCAGAATGTCAATTTGAATGAAAGTGTTTACAACAAAAAGCAAGAACTACACTATTCTGGGGCATCGTAGTCAGTGTCAATGAATTTGCGTGGACTGGCTATAAAGTTTTATTTTGTCTTCTGACTTTTTATTTTCCAGTCATAAAGCACAAGGCTGTTTATTTTTATAGCGTCTGTTAGCTCAGTATAGCACAGAAGCAATTCACTGTGCTTTCCACAAGCTACAAACACAATAAAAAAGGAAATAAAATCAATTAAAAGGAATAAAATTATAAAATAAAATACAAATAGACAAAAAATAACAACCACAAAAAAAGTGGAAGTGCAGTAACAAGGTGTCCCAAATTCTAAAAGAGGACATAAATTGCAGAAGGGAAATTAATCAATTAAAGCCACAGAAGAACAACGTGCTACTAGCTGACCACTCCCACAAGATCTAAGAGACCTACTGGGTTTATATTTGTCAAGCATATGAAAGACACTGTTAACCGATTTATAAATTAGTAGCAGCCATTTAAAACCTTTTCTAAAAGTAACTGGTGGGCATTTAACAGTGATAAAAAAAATGAAGAAAAAGTAATTTTGCATTCGCGTCCAACCGATAACACATATCGGCATATCGGTTTAGGTTTTGGCATATTGAGTTTGACCAAAGATTAGACTGCCTGTGCTTTGGGTATTGAGGTGGAAAAGCCAATCAGCTCTCTATGCTTCATGAAGTCTCACCTCCACTTAACCGTGATTGGTCAGCTCACAAAACACAGCCATTATTATGCAGTGCTTCTAAAAAATTGGTTTTCCATTAATGGTGTCTGCTAAAGCCAAAGTCTGAAAAATGTGAAAAAGAGGCAACACTAAAACTGCAGGGCCACAGAACCAGGTGTAAGGGGCTCACACAGTATCATGCTATGTCCATTTTGTCAAAACAATTATTGACTAGGATCTCTACATTAAAAAAAAAAAATGAATGTGATCGTTCACAGCCTCGTCCTGTTCCCTTGTGATAGAACGGGTGCTCCTCGAGTTTTAGCCTGTAGGGCATCTGCTGCAGCTCTAACAGGAGCTGGCAGTTTAGAAAATCCATTGTTAATAGGCTCTGTGTTTGACACAGTTTCTAGTCAACCCCAGAGGAAACAGGTCACAACCACAGACTCATGAACAAGTGAGAGAGGAGGTAAAGGCAGAGGCAGACCATATGAGTAAATATATTAATTTATAACCAAAGAGGCAAGCTTTACAGGAAATGACTAATATAATGTGTGACACTGTTTACACAGAAATAATGAGGATTTATTCTTCATTTATTATTAGCAGTTCCTGAGTGACCTAAACTCTTAAGCCTTAGAATAAGCCTATTGTGAATTTATGAAAGCGAGCTTATTCCAAGTTATTACTGGCATCTTATTGTTGAATGTCTTATAGTACACTGATACATAACAGACCTTTTGGATTTGACCATTAGACATGCTAAAAGGAAATCACTACCAATAATCTCCCAGGGCTAATCACGTTTTACAAAGTAGCTCATGTTACATGAAGAGTTAACTACAACAACAAAGTGGAGAATTATCACATTATTTTGCTTGCTTTGTCTAATGATTAACATAAATGCAACTTTAAAGCTGCTTTCCCAATAGAAGAACAAACAAAGTTTCAAAAACAAAATAAAATTCAGACATTTTTAAGTCTGGCTTAAAATCTTTAGTAAGCTCCCCCCACTTGTTTAGATCAATAATTTATTCAGTTACCAACCTGAGTATGTTTGGATGTGAAAGCCGGTTCATTAGCTGGACCTCTCTCAACATGTTAGCTCTGTTGCTGCTGAGCTTGTTCATCTTTAGAGCCATAACTTGGTCTGAAGCTCGATGACGTACCTGTAAAACAGTCAAATGATGCCATGTTTCAACATGCTGCAAGTACAGTCAAATACGACATGAACAATGGTTAAATCACTATGTATGAACTACACCGAACATAACCTTTATTCAGATGGCTATAAAAACTGGGATTGAAAATATGACCGTTTCATTCAACAGTAAATCAAAACTATTCTGTTTAATTTTCAGTTTGTGTTACTAACAATCACTTTAATAGCTTGAAACACTGCTCTTCTTTTAATGGTGAGTGGAAAAAAAAAATCTGTCTCTGTCTCTGCAGCATTAAACAGAGTAAGCAGAAAAGGAAGGCAGCACATAAAAGAGAACTGAAATGAGGTCAGTCATTGCTGACCAGCCATGACAAAATAAATGTGTCAGTCCAGACCTGCACAATCAATTTTGTATTATGCTGCATTGGGATTTTGGTTTCCATCTAATCTAAAATTAAGTGAAGGCATCACCATACCACCATCCATTCATCCATCCATTCATTGTTGACCTATCCCAGCATGCTTTGGGTGCAAGGCAAGCAAACACACTAGACAGGTCATGGCATAAAGACAGCACTGAAATCCTTCCTGCTGAAGTTTAAAACGATACATATGTTGCTTTAATATACCACTCGTGCAGTAAGATAATCTTGTTCTTCAAGTGGAGTAGAGTAACCAAGATGCACGTTTACATTATTTCTGACTAGGAACAAGCAGTATTATGTGTTCAGGAGTGAACTGAAATTCAAAGATTTTAATTTGGAGTAATTTACACACTGACTGACATGTACTCACCAAAAATAGCTGTAGTCCATTTCTATTAAGTGAAAAGCCTTTAAAAGAGCACTTAGCACATTTAATCTCTGCATCGAAGCAGTAATACAATACAATATTTTTTTTAGTACTATTAAAGACCAGGAGCCAACGTGCATTACTTTTTCTTGCCTCAGTCACTGTCTTTGAAACAGAAAGGTGAACTCAGGTCGTCTTACAACCTGTTTCAGAGATGCCATGACACAAATTAATTACCAAGAATTGAAGTTCTTCTAAATGCACTCATAGTGCATGCAAATAGGAAATATCAACTAGCAAACCACAGTCAGCAGAACACCAGATGACTGAGCTGCTGCACACTGATCTATCTACCTGCACGTGCTTACTCACTTCCTGGCAGCAGAGACATATTTAGATCACAAAGCAGCTTTTAATCCAGTAGTTTGAAAAGACGAACTTGATACTCCTGTGTATATAGGTAGGCATCGTCCAGCAACAAAGAGCCTATTCAAACATAATCAAGAGCTCCAGACAAAGAATACAGAACAGGAAGAAGCATCATACATACGTGCAAAAACACTTACTGTCACATCAGTGACATTGAGGGCTGTGGACATCACAAACATCATGACCCTTTTAAAGGATATTTCAATACTGCAAATGTCCACTACTGATGTGCATCATTGTGGAGAACAGAAATGATGACATATGATTAGATATGATTATTTATATATCATTTGACAAAAAGTATGGAACATACTTTGGATAGACAGCTCTCCCAGGAAACAGCTATTCAGACTAGGAAAATCCTGATAACTTTAATCTATGGAAATACGGTACCAAAGAGACTGTCAAACATATTCACTAAACAGTGGGCAGCTTTATGTCATCCTGACCATCTTCCATCATCACAGCCACAGCGAACCAGTGACAATGGAGGGCAGTATCACTTACATTAGGACGGACAACTCACCGATGGGACAAAGTCAATATGGAGTACATAGGTTTACGTTTACATTGAAAGTCAGTGAAATACACTGCTGGACAAAACTGTTGCTAGAGTGAAAACATCTCTCTATGTAGTGTGGAAAAATCATAAAGGATCATGCAGTCTGTTTCAGTTTAAGGGAGCTCTCTGTGTCTGTGTCTGCTTCTCTCTCCCCATCTCATACATACAGACACAAAAATCTCTCTGTTCAAGTTCAAAGGAAGGGGCCTGGCTGTAAGAGCCGACAGTCTCCGCCACAGGACAGCAGAAACAACAGATGGCCACTCCTGTGAAGGCCTCCTCCCCCCACATCCGTCTATCCTCCTCCAACCCCCCCCCCTCCTTCTTCACTCTTCACATCCCCCCATCTGAATTTATCCCTGATCCCCCTCTTTCTCCTCGTAGCTGTGGCCTCCAACAAACCGTCATCCCCAATCCTCATCTTCCCCCAGTAGTAGTACCATCTTTCTCTCCCACCTTCCTCTCTTGTCGCCCCCACCTTTCCCAACTCCGCTCTAGCATGCTCTCCTCTGCGATGTGTCTTTTCACCACTGCACATTTCTGGAAAACATAACCCCGGTGTCCTTGTCCTCTAAACCTTTTCTCCCTTTTCTCCTCCTCCCTTTCACCCCAGCTCTAGCAAAACCCTACATCACCCTCTTCTCCAAAACCTTGTCTGCCCCCATCCCTTATACTCACTCAACCCACATATTTCATCCTTTTCAAAAGTCTTGCCATCCCAGCTCTCCACCATCAGAAGCTTTTTCCTCCTCCTCTTAGCCTCAACCTCTATCTCCATTAATGCTGCCGCCTTTTCATTTCATTCGCCCCAACTGAGCTTTTCATCAGCTCTCTGCCATTCCCTCCACTCTCTTCTCGCTGCCTATGGATTCCTTTCTCACCTAGGAAAAAAATGTTGTTGACAGGGATTTCCCAAGAGGCCGAGGCGGTACCTGATGTGGCAGCGTTCATGCAGGGAGTCGGAAGTTTACAGTGCTGTTGCCATTAAATTCCAATTTAAATCAATGAATGAATTAATAATTAGCTATTACAGCATCACATTGTGATATTTGGCCTACATACATCCACAATAATAAAGCTGTGTACACACGTAGCTTTAAGCAGGTTCAACTCAGGCAAGATATACCAGACAACTTACAGCCTCTATCATAACTTTCCTGTTCAAACAATAGATGATTTGCTCTATGTGTATAATACATTAACATGTTTCATATGGTGTATCCTATAGTGTTTTCTAGAGAGGAGAGACGGAATGTAACAGAATGTTTGGACAGCCTCTCTTCACTCCAGCATCAGCAAAATACTTAACCTGAAAAGCGGTTTTCAAACACCGGCATACCAGCAAACTGACCGCTGTTTAAGCCAAAGTGTCCATATTTGTTTCACATACCGATACATGCTGTAAATGTGGATATATCATTAATTGAAACTGCTCGCTGTTGTTTATTTGTGCTGCTCTGTGGTTCACTCATTTGCAGTGCTGTCCGTTATGAATAAGCTCCAGTGTTCAGGAAGCACACAATGGGTTGTTTTTGACAGCTGGCATACCCAGAATACAATGGGTGACAGTAAACAAATAACTTAATATGGGCTTCATATGGCTAATAAAAATAAATCAAAAAATATGCCTTGATTTACTCCACTACAGACCTTTCAAGTCGGCTCGGGCCATCCCTAACCAGATGCACAACACTCAAACATCACTAACAGCTGTCAGACACTATCAACAGTAACATCAATCAGCCCAAGCCCAAGTTACAGCCTGAAAGAGAGACACAATGGAAAATGAATGTCACCCCAGTTCACCAGTCCAATAGAGATCTACTGTTACATAGATGCACAGTACATGGTATACCATTGTGAGCTAAGCTCATATTGAAATTCCAATATTCGCAGAATGACAACAGAAATACAAATGCTTATAAATGATAATAATCCTCGTCAACTTTATTCTGTGTGTTAACCCTAAAGCTTGTACAGACTTGTACATATATGCAGAAAAGCTCTACTTATCTAGGTTAAACTGGGCCCTGCAAAGATCCCAGTGTCACGGTGGCCTTGATAATACATCTAACCAGAGGAAATGAAGAAAATGAAATTTCTCTGCTGATAGATGTTAATAACAGTTCATTTAGCAAAGCCAAACTAAAAACTCTAAATGCGCTTGTGTGACTCCCGTTCACATGCCTGGAGGGGGAAGGGACAAAGTAACAGGGTTAACAACCCCATATTTAAGTGATGTCTTTGAACTGATTGCAGCGAAACTTGACCTAAAAATGTCCATGAAAGAGTCGTGAGTGAAGATCAAGATAGCCCAGAAACAATCGGTCTTTAACCCACCAAGCACATCAAGTTGACAAGTCAAATCAAACGGAAAATGACTTTGGGTGTCATTCCTTCACTTATAAATGTGATTGTGTATTAGTGAGAGCCACGCACAACAAGTTCCCCTTTTTTTATTCTGATCCTGAAATCAATAGTGAGGTTGAATGAGTATGTGTGATTTAAGGGACTGTCTAACCTATTATAAAACACACCAGATGGATGAATGAATGGAAGCATGGAATAAAAAGACACAGGAACACATCAAAAAGATAAAAAGGAACAGAAGATGAAGTCAAGCCAAGGAGAGACCGAGGAAGTTCATAAAAGTGAAAAGAAAAAAATTATAAGAGCACATCACGAAGCAAGTAATAACTGATCTCCACACACCTTGAAGACATCAGAGAAGAATCCAGAGCCAATCCACTCACATGTGAAGTCATCAAGGCGAGTAAGACAGGAGAAGGCACTGATAAGGGCTCTGTAGGATGATGGCCACACCCTGCCCACCTGGAGAACATATGAACAGACTAGTAAAAACAGGTCAAAATGGGTCCTTTATCTTATGTATATGCCCTCGGACCACTGTTATAACTTGCTTGTTTGTGTGGAAAAAAAATGAAACACTAAACACTAGATATAAAGACTGATTTGCACCAGCATACACAGATTTTCCCAGTTAATTTTTGTGTCATAAGGCAACCAAACCACTCAACCCTCCAAATCCTAGGTATGTATCAATGCCAAAACAGATTGAAATCAATTGATCGCCAGCATTAGCATTTGTTGAACCATTACTGTTCATTAGTGTTGCTCATTTATGCTGTAATTTACATAGAAAAGACCCAGATGCAAAACCAATGTGTGTAAGGGTTGATTGAGGGACATGGCTAGCATGGACATAACCATGAACACATGACATAGCCATTTTCATTTGAACACTAACACTTACCAAAACAAAACCACTTTTAATCTCATGCATAAACTGCGCTTTCTGATTTTGCAGGCCAATCACTCTGCTGAGATCTACATTTTCACCAGAATGAGGCAAAAGTCAGTTGAGCTGTGGATCTTCAGTGATTCCTGGATGAACTGCATCATAAATTAATGCTTTATTACTGACAACTAGAGCTGAAGCAATCAATCATTTAGTCAATTACTCAATTGACAGACTATCTTGATAGATAAAACATTAAAAATGTGATGATCAATAGCTCAGTTTAGTTACTTTATTTAGTAAAGTTTTTTGGGGGACTTGCTGATTTTGTTAGTCTTATATGATAATAAACTCAATATTAATGGGTTTATTAAGACTCAATAAAAATCATTAAATGGCACACAACTTACAACTGATTTTATCTCCTGACTGTCCAAGACTGGAACCAAATCTGTCTGATCAATCCTAATTACAATTATAACATGCCAAATGATTCTGTGTGTGTATCAGAACTGTTAATTTTTTTTTCCATCCAAAGTAGTCAAGAAAGCCAAAACAGTCTAATCAATTATCAATACTTTGCTGAACTCTTTATACGTGCACAGGAAGCCTGTATACTGTAATGTATGCCCTGCATCTTTGAAATGCATCCTACTTTTTAAAATAAAGAACAAAGACTGACCTGTGGAGATGGGCCCATGCCCATCTCGCCGACCCCTACCCCTCCGATACCGTCCCTGTCCTCATTGAGACGTTCGGGTCGTGTAGGGAACCCAGCGATGGAATTGCGTTTATTCCGGTCCATGGTGATGTGAAAGATGGCGATACCAGTGAGGGTAATATGAGCCTTATTCTGTAATGTACCCACATGACAAGCAGACTAGATTGTTTAAACGGCGCCGAGGGCTCCACGGCAGAACAGGATTTACTCAGTTTGTGTCCTGGGTTGAAATATGTCACACACATAGACTTCAGTTTTAAAATTTGGTTTAGGACACCCCTGGTGACAAGCCCTGGCTGGGTCCAAGATGTTTCCTACTAGTCCAGTTCCTCACTGCTTGTAACTGAGGAGTCCACCAGGATGAGAAGGACTTCACATATTTGACAGATGTACTGTAAGTCCTTGGAGACCTAGAGAAAGTAAAGAGAAAAATGAATGAAGGGGCCTTTCATTGGTTTGAGATTAAGACGCGTAAAGTAGCAGTGGTGGCTATTGTTCATAGATTTATGGTTATGCCAAACAAACACTAAAAGAAAAACAAAATCTGTAAGCTATTCTTTCATTAAAGATTAAGGTGTTTAGCGGAAACTGTAGCAGTAGACTGTGTCTTGCCTAACGATGGATGAGACAAGCCACTATTGCTCAACAGGCCCAAATGTAATGGCTGTAATAGGGGCCGATTGTCCAATTATGGGAGATTAGCCAAGGAATAGCTCAGGTCCCGGACCTTTCTGCCATCCAAAACAAAATCAGCAGGGTACAAAGGGGAACAGGAAAGGAAGTCTGTGGCTAAAGGTCTTTTTTATACTTGTAAACAATGTGGCTTTCATATCTAACTTTTACTTGAGGCCAGAGGGAATATTTCTTTGACTTATAGAACATGTCAAGTCTAGTAATAAATATTTCTTCCACATTACTTCAAAGAAAGATATAACAGTAGATTAAAACTAAAAACTGAAAAACACTCCCATCAATTTTGTTTTCCTTTGAAGAGAGCCTATGTATTTAATTGAGTAATTACCCCCTAAATCTGAGCAACAACATGCAAGCTGATGCTAAAGACAGCTGCACGAATAATCTATCTATAAACACTTTTCAACACCAGTGAATTTCCAGATTATATACTATATCATGATATATACTCAATTGACAGTTTCCTAAAACTGAACATTAAAACCGTAGATTAGCAGATTGACATTGCAATGCAAAACATTTCTCAGTTCCAGCCCCTTAATTGCAAGACTTCCTGCTTTTCTCTGTCATGCATTATTGTAAACTGACTGGACCGTTGGTTAGACAAAAGAAGTGACATGTGATGGGTATTTTTCACTACAGTTGCAGCCCTATTCTCACCCACTTTTGCTGTGTTACCACACAATCCTTTTTAATACTACAAAGCCTGCCGTCGTGTATTCTAAGATTTCTGCCCACACACAGCATCAATATATTTCAGGAGTAATCAGAAATTTACAATGTTTGTACACAGGACATAACCTGAATAATTCTGCAAAATGTGTTCCGGTAAATTGGGAGGCACAGCAGCAATGGTAAGAAAGATGGAGACTTAAAATGAACACACTAAAGAGGTCTATTTTAAACCAAAGCAGAGGGTAACAAAAGTCAATCTTTGGCCCAGATGAGGTCTCATAAGATCAGATCCTAAAAACAGCATTGAGATGACACAGCCAGACTCTGCTTTGGTCCGTTAGCATTACATCACAGACATTAGACTCTTTGAGCGTTACTGTGGACCTACTGGACAACTTCTGAGATCATTCTCCGTCCCAGCCACATCCTTAAAAGGCTTTTCATCCTCCTCTTTCTTTTTTCTCTCCAATGACACCTCATTTTCTGCCTTGTTGAAATGGTACGGCAAAAATAAAAGTGCCTGTGCCAAGAAAAATGCAAGCCACAAGTGCCAGGCCTAAGCCTTCCTATCCAATTTCAGCTGCTTTCCCATCCAAGAGCCAAAACAGAGACACACATTTCATCTATGTGGTTCTATCTGGGTAGACAAGAATAGGTCAGCATGTAAAATTCACCCTTGATACAAAACTAAAAGCTTCTGTATCCACACACCCACATCACTGGTTAAAGCAGCTTGATATTGAGTAAACACAAACTTCCTACACTCACTAGTGATGCAATGATATTATGATGATGATAAATTGATGATAATAACTGCGTTATTCTACAAGCTACTGTAGGTGAGTAAAAACCAGTCTTCATTTTAGATGATCCTCACAGTCTAAAGCAGTATACTGACCACCAAAAAGAAGTTTTACACCCACCTCTGCTGTAAACATGAAAAACAGGCATCATTCAGAATCACTCCACCAACAGACAGTCCAATTACAGGGAACACAACTCTAGCCACATACTATAAAATTACTTTATACCATTAAAAACAAGATCATATAACAGAGCCCTGTAATATTTCGCAACACGTTAATCCTCAGTGAACTATGCAGTTGGAAATCTTCTTCATACAAATGATTAGAAGAAAATGTAGGCCACCAGTGTTCACTACTATATTTGTTTCCAAACTATACCATGTTGCCTACATATCTGAAGGGCATGCACTTAAAACACCACACTAAAGAGACTATGCATGGAAAAGGGTGGAATTTTAAAAGGCAGCCTTTTTTTGGTCTGTAAAATGTGGCCTGTTGCTACTCCAAAACAGATGGGACATCTCCAAAGCAGCTTCAGGCCAAATGTTTCAACAGTAGTTTGGGGGCTTGAACACTATCCAGCTGTGCCCCAGTGGATTACAGACTAATAGAAAATGTCAGCAATAAATCAAAGCTTAAGTGATGTTATAATGATAGGTTGAGCAAGGGTAAGAGTGTCTCTGAAGTGCAATAGGTATTAAATGGGTGTGTGTGAAATGTGTCTGAGATCATTTGCTCGTGCCCATGCAAACAAATTTCAGCATTTAGTAATCTGCTAGCCTTTCTCCTATGAGCTACAGAGACAGCTGAGAGATCACTAAAAGAACAATCTTTGTCAAGTATTTGTGCAAGGTCACATTCAACAAAAGTGAATAGCGGCCTCTTATCTGACCACAATCTATTGTGGTTAACTGCCATGATATGTGAGCCGCTGCATACCTGTCATTCTTCAAGGGTTTAAAGTAATGAACAAGTCCATGGGGCAGACACCGTGGAAAAAAACTGACCATTATCTGGATACCATGGACAGCTAATGAGCCAACGCCGCCAAGAGACCTTGATGCAAGTCATATTAACCGATGGCAGTTAGGTGAAGAATTAGTAGCTGGTTGACCATGTTTAAATCGTTGGCAACACCAGGCAAAAAATGTAAACAAACCACAGCAGCAAGAGCTACTATTAGCTTTAACTCCTGGTTAAAGTTAAGCAGACTTACCTGTTTTTCTTTCAAAGAGATGTTTGAAAGAAGAGTTCAAGCTGGGATCCATTTATCGAAAACGACAAGCGAACCCCCGAAACAGCAAAGTTTGTAACGCAGCTAGCTCATTGACTAGCTCACTGGCTAGTTTGTCAACAAAACTCGAGCTAAACCAAGCGCTAACGTTGACAGACATTAGCCTGAGATCCACTACCAACACACACAAAACAAGAAGTTTTTCGTCGCAACGGTTGAAAAGTCCACATTTCCAAAGGCTGACTTCTCAAAGTAAACTCGAAGTCTGTTTCTGTTGTCCTTGTTTCCACAAAAGAGCAAAGTAAGATGGTTTTTTTTCTCTGTTTTGTACCGCCCGGGATAATATTTCAGACGATTGTTGGTGTTTGACAGCTCTGTCGTCTCTTTGCTCTCACCCGAGCAACTCCCACTGACCCAACCCACATTTGATTGGCAGGTCAATGAACCAATGAGCACGCGACTTTCTGAGCGTGCGTGTGAACTCGTAGAAAACAAAATAAAGGACACGTTAAAAATAACGATTATGAATAAACCGAAGCAAAACATATTTAAAAACCATTATTTTGTTGTGAATTTCAGTTCACATAAGAGTTACTGGAGTTTAGCTATACAGAAAGTTAATGGGATAGAGAGAATGAAATCATCATCATTTCTGGTAAATTAGTTTTGAAGTTAAACTTCAAGTTTATTTAGAAAGGCCTTCTACAAATGCAGTACATAGTGTTTTTCGGGGAGGAAAAAGGAGCCATACATTAACAAGGGAAAATAAAGAGAAGGGCAAGAAGAAATCAAAACAGCACAAATGCAGAAGATGCAAATAAATTTCATATCGAGAACACTAAACTGACTGAAAAGGTCAAATTGGCAATATGAGTGCAATCTGTTGTGGGGTTAGTTTTTCACCTCACTCAAATATAATTTTTGACAAATGGCTTAAGCTTAAATTAGTTCAAACAATTGTGCGTTGGCGCAAACTCTTTCTGTAGTCTGTTTTAGGTAATGCAACCACAGCCACTGCTGCTTTTGTTAGATCCATCCCATGTTTATTGTGTCCATTGTGTCCCAAAGCCCTTTGATGTCCAACAAATGGAAGAACTTGAAGGCATAGTCTTTTTTGTTTTGTTTTTTTATAATCCAGATTTTTTATTATCAGAATGCTTTAACATTTTGCCACTGGTTTATGAATAACTAAAATGCAATAAAATATTTGTTTGGTCAATAAATATGTTACAGGCCTGTCATTTATTTAATTCATTAAAATGTGCAGGTGTAAAATGATTGCATATGGTTAATACTTACAATCAGGTCCACAATGTTTGGTAAATTAGCTAATAAAACTTTACAATGACAAACTGCTGCACCATAGATAAAATTCTAAATCAGTCTAAATCATAAAAAATTTTCCTTCATGAACCCGACTCTTTGACCTAAGCTTTTAGCTGCTCTCATGGAAATAGAGCGTCACCTAGTGGACAAAATTAGAAATTACTGCTATACACATCAGACTCAGACAACAGCATGATATTGCAACCCACTTCTTGGTTTCCTTAAACATTGGCCATTGGCAGTTTGCTGCAAGTGACATTTTGATAATTTTGTAGGGGAAAAGTCTCAGTTTTGAATAGGTGTTGATGTTGGGTTACAATCATGGGCGGAGTGGGAGGATGGGTGGGGTCCAGGCCCAGATGTTTTACAAAAAGCCCAGACTCTTATATGAAATTTATAATATAACTTCAACTTGGTGTTATTTCCTTTCAGTCTCTCTGACTAGGCCAGCAAATCAACGGAGCTCCATTAGTGCTGTACTGCGGAAATAGCCAGGTCGCCTTACAACTTGCAGGTCATTCAGGCTTATTGTGCAAAACACTTAGCATCACATGACAAATATCAACACTATTCTGTGCGATAAAGCCATATTTGCATTCACCAGTGTTCAGGGGTGTGTTTGTATATAACACGTCAGTTTCTAATTTTCTAAGGTTATGTAACCACTATTCCTTCGGTGCCAAGTTTACATACATTAATCAGCTACAACTGACCATTTAATCAAAAGTTAGACCGGCTTTATGAGTAGTTCATAAAGTTATCATGTTACAATTCATTTATTTACACAAAAAAACTGGTTGTAGTATACTGCAATAGAGGTTTATGTCCATATGGATTTAAAAAGAAATTGCCAAATCAAAACTTGTAAAACTTATGGTAAGGGTCTTGAAAAAGTCAAAACGGTTTTTACTGTATGTGGTTAGATGAAAGAATGTGTGGAAAAACTAATAAATGTTCTTGGGTGTGCTTTAGCCTCTCAAATGGGATGATTTGTGTCCTTTGTCTGTCATATATAGTAGTAAAAAAAAATGTTGTTGTTGCTTTGGATTGTTAGTTCGATGAAACAACCAATTTGAAAGTTTCATTTTGAGCTCTGGGAAACTCACATTTGACAAACTACAACCCAAAGATAATTGACGTTCTTGCCTACTCAGTCTGATCATTTTTGATTTATGTATAATTTATTTATTCCGATTTTGCTGCTGAGAAATTTTGTCCTTTCTCTAACACCGTATATCCTCCGTCACGTGACCACGTCCGTTTCCTGTTACTATTGTATTACACTTCCATGTTTTTCGCCTTAAACAGCAACGGTAATGTAAATTACAGCGTTAAAACTGCGGCTGCTGTGTGATTTCTCCCCACATAACAAAGTTAGTTTAATGTCTGCCCACGTCGCTTCAGCCAGCAAAGGTGCCAAACCGGCGGGGGGCAACATGGCCAACTGTGTGGCTTTCCAGGGCAAGTTAACCTCGATCATGGAGAAGCTAGCTAAAGCGGCCGTGTTAGAAATCAGCAGACTGTGGGAGGACGGCTTCGCCCTCGTCCAGGTCGAGCTTCGCCGGAGAGAGAACGAAATTGAAGCCCTGAACACAAAGTTGATGCTGATGGAAAATGAGCGACTGTCGATCCTGTTTCAAGCACAGACTACAAATCTGCCCTCATCATCATCATCATCTTCTTCCAAGAGAGAGCAGCAGAACAAACTGCTGCCGCCCACCGGTGATGGTAAGGATAACCGGTACATGGATAATAGATAATGAGCAATGTATGTTTTAAAATATACTGGTAACACTCACCTCCAATTAAGTATTCATAAGCATTATATACACTTTTAATAAATGGTTAAATAAACACTTAAAATTACCTGCACACAACAACATTATAGTGTGTTATAATTCTGACTTCTATGAAAATATATTTTGTGTACAACTATATTATCATTATTTATCTTTTTATACAGCTGCCTCCACTTAAGGGTGTCCACAGGGGGAGATATAGTTGTTAAATACATTCGTTAACACTTAAATCTGTCTACTACTACATTATAGTGTGTTTTAAACCAAGTGTGTTGCTGATAACATGACAGTAAATAGTGTAAAATGCCAGTTAGAATTTACTTTGTTCCAATTTTAAAATCCAAAGATACTCAGTTTTTGTAATAAAGAAAAACACCAAAACCTTACATTTGAGAAGTTGGAAATAATGATAATTAATTTCCGCTTGCAAATGACTACTGTTTATTAAAATAGTTGCTAAATGTAAAGCTAGTCGATGTAGCAAGTAGCTGCAACTATCAGGTATATATAAGACCACTTGTTTATACTTAAAGAACCTTTTTAACTAAAAATTGGAGGATAATCCCTGACTGCATTTAAGCAACATGTTACTATCATTTAGTGCTGAAAAGGTGGTGCCTCAGTCACAAAGTTAAATTGTCTGTAAGTGATTTTTCAAGGGAACTGTTCTGCTAAATAAATGTTAAAAATGTACCTGCTTTGTTGTTTCAGGGCCTATTATAGATTCAGTCCAGAAATTATGCTCCGAACCGAGTGTCAGAGAGAGGCCGGACAGCTCAGCAAATCACACATCACCACCACCGCCACCACCCACTCAGACAGAAGAGCCGTGTGAGCAGCTCAAGTCTGACTATTGTGAAAGGGACGACATAGATGATGATGACTTAATAGTCAAGCTGGAGGACGAGGACGATGTCCAGATTGTGGAGCAGATCCTGGACTCTGATCACAGTGTTAACGATGGAGCTGGTCACCACGAGATGGATCCTAACCACCAACCTGCCGAGGTCCTGGAAGAAAAAGAGAGCGAGCAGTGGACGACTGTTTCGATGGGAGACAGCAACACTGTCGACGACTCGGACTGCGTTTTTGAAGCAAAGCAGCTGTCACAAAACCAGGACTCAGAAATCCTGCTCATTCAAAATGCCTTGGACATTTTCGATAATTCAGCAGAGACAGCATATTCTGACAGGTTTATGAGAGATAATGGACAAGGTGCATCAAGTAAATCAAGGGCTTCTTTGACTTTGAGCCAAGCTCAGCCAAGTCAACCTATAGAAGCAATAAATCACCCAGAGAGAGGAGTGTCCTTCAGATTCCTCTCAGAGAAACCACCACAAACTAAAAACATGTCTTCTTTTAACCCAGACAGCCGATTATTTCTCTTAAATGACCCCGAGTTTCATAAAACTATAGCGAGTCGCCGCATAAAGGAGAAATGGTTCATCTGCCCGTTCTGTGGGAAAAGCTTTGATCGCGTCAGCCATCTTGAGATTCACCAGCGAATTCACACAGGAGAAAAACCATACACATGCGACACATGTGGCAAGTGTTTTTCTCAGAGGAGTAACCTTCGCACTCACCAGCGGACTCACAAAGAGGCTCTATCCCAAAATGCAGTTTGATTTAATAGATTTTGAACAATGTGGAAAGCTAGAATTGTCTCTGTGGCATTTATGTCTAGATTCATTAACAAATTCTTTGTATTTTGATATGACCAAAACGTAATGTAGCTGACTGATTTTACTGTGCACTCATTTTTTTAAATTCTAACTTTGTCATAGCTTTGATTGTAAGAACTAAATTTGTTACTTGTGGACTCTTTGTAAATTCAGCCAATATAGAGATTTATAAAAATATACAGGGGCATCCATCCCCAAGGACAAAGCTGAATATTGACTTCTTAAGGTTACAGAAAAGGACACAGTTTGTTCTATAGTGTCTGGGTGTTGGGCGTGAGTCATTGTGCATCAGAGAGGGTTGGAGAGCAAGCCTCTCTATATGATCACTGTAGACCCTCGGATATCCCTTAGCATTACAATTTTCTCATTCAATGTCCATTTTTACTATCGAAATAGGCAAAAAATAACAATTTTCTAACCAGTTTCCCTTCACCTGATGGAAAGATATCAAGGATAAATCATCAGAAATGGACAAAAGATGATTGCAGCACTTAGATATGAACCCACATCATGTAACAGCGGTCCGTGACCTGAATCGTCTAATTCTGCTGAAACAGGGAATTCTGTAAGTTTGGTCATGGGTACATTTCACTAATGTAAGTTGTGAGACTATAGCAGTGGATTTCCCTCTGTAAAGTCCTGTCTATCTTCTAGGAAAGGAAGTACTGAAGCTGGTCTCTTTTAAGCATTTTGAGAATTCAGCCTTACATTACATTATAGCTGCAGCTCGTATACTTCTGGGTCAATTAGCAACCTTCCTAATAAGAAAACACTTCTTGAACATTCATATTGTTCAGTAACTTCCTCTAAAGCAAGAGATCCCAAGGGGCTCCATAGCAGGCTTAAGAGATGTAGGTTGTCCCAGGTCCAGCCAGTCCCAGTCTCCTCCAGTTGTCCATGCCTGGTTCACTTCTGCCCGAACTATCCGCTCTGAGTGGAGAGGCAGCATCTTGAAGGAATAGATTGACATTTTGGGAAATGCATCTGTTTACTTTCTTGATACCATTTGATAGCACTCATGTTTGTACGGTGAATATGAAGCTACACCCAGCAGCTAGTTGGCTAGTTAGCTTAGCGTAAAGACTAGAAGCAGGGGGAAACGACTAGCCTGGCTCTCTCCAGCAGTAACAAAATCCTCTTACCAGCACCTCTTCAGCTCACTAGCCTTATGATTACCATCCAGACATGAGAGAGGAACTTCTTATCTAAGAAAGCAAATTAACACATTTACCAAACTGTCGAACTAATCATTTAATACAGCGGTTCTCTGAGATTTCCTACTTGTATCCACAATCTCAACTATTTTAGTTATTACTGAGCCAATGAGGAACGTGGCGGTTAGAACACAGAGAAAGCAGGAAATCACTACAGCCTAATACAGCAGCTGGGGTCAGCCTCGTGATGCCCTTTATCCTCACACGACGTGAAACAATCTTATTATCCCAAGTTTCAATAAAGGACAATGACTCTGTTTTTAAACTTGAATATGCTGTACTTTCATGACTACACATTCCATGTTAATATTTACATGTCAGGTTTTTTTTTTCAGTTTCATATAAAACACTGGATGAATATAAAACAATTTCCACATGTATGTTTGCTGTCTGACAACTGGCAGTCCGTTAACACAGGATGATGTTTTACAGTTCATCTCCTGCACGTTTCATCCAGTCTCTCCACTCCTGTCAGTGGTGATCCTAGACTTTGGGGGACTATTGACAGATGCTACAATTTACAGATGTTCCTGGAACATCTCACATGCAGGCAATCAGTAGAGGCTAGCTACAGCACACATCATCAGGGGCCCCACTCAGGGAGGTTTTGGGGCAGCAGCGGTGCACTGTATGGTGTCTTCATGGGAGGTTTAAGACAGCTTATAGTTGTCAACATATGAGGGGCCATCATGGGGCTCTTTTTTCCCTTTGGGGCCACAAACATTTGCCTGGTTTGCCTCGCCTGAGGGTGCTGCCTCTGATTGCTGTGCACTGACAGTTTAATGTAGATGTGGTTTAAACCCGGTCGTGGAAGCCAGTTCCACATGTTCTATCCATGAACAGTTTGTTTCATGTCTATGTTCAGGTCCTCAGAGTAACAGCTTTTCTGACCTTTTTGTAGTTGCAGGTAACTGTTCATAACATCATCATAACCATACAGTAGCTCTTTATCCCTTCCTCATATATACATATATATATATACATATATAAAATAGATACATGTACAAATACACACACTAACTTTTTATCCACAGGTGCATCCACACTGAAATATAAAGGTTCTGAGTCCAGTTCACTCTAACTTGGCCACGACTTAGAGCTTGTTCATATTGTGTTCCATGAATGTTTTTGATGTAAACAGTTGACAGGATTCACAGGGATCCAGCTGTAATTCATCAGAAGCCGTGGATGCACGAATCCAGTAAACACTGTGTAACAGGAACGTTGATTCCATGCATTTTCAAGGAGAGAAAAAGTTTTCATTTAAATGCCATTTTGGTGCATGAAAGGTAAAAATCGTTGGCCGTTTGGTTCTCTGTTTCTTCAAAATAATTAGGTTTAAAAACTTCCAAATTAGTTCCTGGTCCATGTCTGGCTGGGGACTTTTACTGCATGTCATTCACCATCTCTCTCTCTCTCTCTCTCCGCATTTCCTCTCCACTGTTTGGTATCTAATGAAGACATAAAATCACCTTAAAACACTCCCCAATTATTATAGCCTTAAAATAAATCTCCCAACCCAGAGGTAAAAAAAAATGATCAAATTTGGGTCGTGCCTGTGGCTAATTACCCATTGCAGTCAGTGTGTACAAAACAAACATCCATTTACAAAGAATAAGATCACTGTCAATGCAGGAATGCAGACATGTAGTGGCTGAGAGCCTCCAGTCTAGATAATCTGTCCTCTGGGGTTCAGCAGAATGGCATTGGAGTGTGGCCTGGGTCTGAGGACCCCGTTACTGTAGTAGAAGTGAGTAGTGAGCGCCTCTGAGATCTGGAAGGAGCTGCTGCTGTCGTCCTCATCGCGTCCCTGCTCTACCGACTGTGCCGGGGCCCAGTCCTCTTCCCTGACGTGACCGAGGTCTGGCTCTCTGGGCCCGACTGCGTCGTCCTGCTGGGCCTTCAGGGGAACCAGGGACGAAGGAAGACCCGAGTCCTGACAGACACAGAAAGAAATCAGACTTAAAATAGAAACAGTGAAAAACAGTGCTGGATGCAGATTTGACATCTTCTAATTTTTTACAGACTAATAAGAGCCATGATACAGAAATTATTATCTGAACCGTAAAATGTTTTGTTTGAACGATACATCAATGTATCCAGGCCAAAAAACACAATACCGTTCTAAATACCAATCCATACGTCATGTCATGTCACACCACAAAACATACACCTCCAAATACTGAGGGTGGAGAGAATTACTCAGAGGATACACAGAGTGATATTAATGCTCCGCCAAAGCAGAAGCAACGACGTTTTGCAACAGGTTGGTCAATAACACACATCAAGTTCCACTTAACGAACAGGGGAAATATAAACTTTTTTTTTTAGATATCTTCAGTGCTGAATGCTGTGCTGTAGCGTGAAGATTTCCTGTATAAAAACTGATTCATCATCAAGAATAAGTTTACAGGTTTACAGGTTTACAGTCGTAGAACATGTTATCCTGTTTGTATATGAATAAAATAAAGTACAGAGCTGCACAGACAAATCATTCATTATAATAAACAGAGGCTGATAGTGTTTCCAGTTTTTGTTTGTAGTCCTTTTGTGCCGTCTCTCTGGCAACGTCTGACGGTAACAACACAAATCCGTCAGTAAATAAAACATGATACCGTATGACTCATTATGAATGAAACCAAATACATTTCGGCCTAATCTCTGAGACAGTGACACATACCAGTGACATGTTGCTGCTCTTCAGGTACGACTCCACCCTCCTCCTGCGCTCCTCCTTCTCTCCGTCCATCTCTGCCCCTCTCAGGCTCTCGCTGTCGTCCTGCCAGACGACCGGACGCCCCAGTTCATCCACCTCCACCCCTCCTGGAGGACCCCACTTCCCGCCCAGAGTGGACTGGCTGTCTTTGTAGGTGGGTCGCTCCTGCAGGTCGAGGAGGTGGCCACAGACAGTCACAACGCTGACAACAACAACAACTGCTTGTTGTCTTAAACAACGAGTATGCAAATTAAGCAACTGTAATTCCCTTCGTCAATAGACTGACGAGACTTGTTGTCGTCAAAGTTTACCATCTTTTCCTTTTGGATTGGAAACAGTCAGTGTCTCCCACACACTGCATATTTATTTATATTTAGGTGGAAAATCAGGACTTTTATGGAACTCATTGTCTCCATTTAAACCAATTACACCAAAATATTCAATAAACAATAAATAAAGCACAGAAAAGTAGAAGTTGTGACCAGAGCCAAGTTTTGTAGTTTTGCTTGATAAATGATGATTGAATGATGATTAAAAATGTAATGTAATCTCATCATCAGTCGCCTGATCCCAGCCAATGCTGCCAGTGGATATCAGGACATGTTAAATATGAATATAACAATATTGTGGAAGTTCTTTGTTATAGATCGATGAAAGACTGGTCAAAGACTGAAACTGTGTGACTGCACCATGCTTGGTTCCATTCAGGGACCGTTGTAGCATTCATCCTCCTGTCCTGTATTAACTTGTTTCTGTCTGTATATACTATTTACAATGAGACGGATAATAAAAAGTTCCAGTGAGGAACTCACCAGAGACTGGCTGTGGTTCATTCTGCTGTCTACTCTGAGCAGGGCGTAATCTTCAGCCTGCAGAGAACGGAGAAAGTGGAAGAAAGTTACTGAACATGAACACAGAAGATTAAAAAAAATATAATCACCCAGAATGAGATATTAATGACACAGTGTGTGCTTATGAACACTGCATGTTATTTGTTTGAAGCTGCAGCAGCCTGTAATCATCGGCCTCCACAGCAGACACAGCTGCTGACTTGCCAGCGGCTCCGCTCCGGCTACACCTGGCCAACGGGCGGGTGTGTCGACCTGGTTTCTCTCCAGGTTATTGTTCTCAGCAGGAGAGTGTGTGTGTGTGTGTGTGTGTATTTATCTTTTCTTTTTTTTTTTTTTTTCTTACCGGCACTCTGGGGTCTGTGCTGACAGAGTTCAGTCTCCTGAAGGAGGCTTGTCTGGAGAGGCTGTTAATTTCCTCCCTGGGAAAAAAAAAGACAGCACATTTGGAGGATTTACGGAACAATAGCGAGTCTGGAAATTGAATTTCAGAAATTAGGTCATCGTGTGTAAACAGTTTAAATACCAGTTTACACATAAACATTCACAGCTGAGCTCTCATCACGGTTAAAGCTAATGAACGTCTTTGAATCTCTGTATCATAAACGTCTTCTCCAGTTTTCCCACTTCATGGCCGTTTGAAGAAAATGGGAGTCAACTCACGTTTTCTCGCTGAGCTCCATCTCAAGCTTTTTGTTTCTGTGCCGATGGTAGCGGTTGACCAGCAGGACGACAATGACCAGCACCATGACCAGAGCTCCGGCTGAGGCGCCGATAATGATCAGCAGCAGGTTATCATCAGAGGAGTCGCCCTGGCGTTGAGATGTCTCTGAAAGAAAGACGGGGGAGACATAAATGTTCATGCATCTCTTTTTCTCTCTCACACACATGCATTCATGCAGCAATTTTGATCCTGATCATGTTTATGCCCTCCATCCATCACAAGGGGGCAGCAAATTTACACACTTACACACTCCAAATGAAAGAAAATGCTCAGTGTTTTGTTTAAGTTTATGCACAGAACATACAGAAGCATCTCATTTTAACCCTGTGCACTTTAAGCGCTGACGAGGCTGAGGGCCCACGCACCTACCTGTTAGAGTCAGTGTATACTCTGCTTTTCCTACTCCTACGTTGTTCTTGACAACACACTCATAGACCCCACTGTCATTCATGCGCAGGACCCGCCCAAAAACAAGTTTTCCTCCAACCACAGACACCCCGTCTGGCAGAGCTCCTCCCCTCCTGTGGATAATCAAAGGAAAAACTTCACCATTAGATCTCAGAGATATGTGACACAGAAACCTGCGACTCACTGCTCTAAACAATAACTGTGACTCAGTTAAGAAAATGAAGTCAATAAAGTGCAACCTGCGTTCCAGTGTGAAGCTTTTTTTAGTTAACGCACAAATATGTGTTAACATCTGCTCTTGAGCAACAGCAGCCAAAGCAACAACTGGTTTTGCATCAGGGAAGTGATTCAGCTGAATAACTACCACACGGGATCAGGGTCACCGCACAGTGTAACCACCAATTTGCATGCACCTGAACCAAAAACCTGCCAGGCTTACAAGTGGAGCCCATTGATCTGAAGAGACCAAATAAATACTAGGTTTGGGAGATTTAAACAAGACCTGCTATCGAGTCCCACGGCGAGCAGCTGAAGACATCGCAGGCCACATAATGGAGAGCCAGTTTCTGATCAGGTCCACCGAGAGGGGTCATGTTGCCCCAGGCTTCACTGTGCTGCAGCGGCTATTTAACAGCTGCTTTAACCCCCCACCCACCTACCTCCACACTCGAACTGAAGCTGGCTCGGATTTCCTTTCTCAAAACCCCACCTAGCTTGTCTAACCAACCTTTTATACTAGAGCCACAGGTGGAGATTGTATCTGGCACTGAGTAGATGGTAGAAAATGACACTGATAAGGTGAGTAATGCAGCTTTAGCGGCCAAAATCTGCTTTACTTTGTTGATTGAATCTTTGCGATTGAATCTCTGTATTATTACAATGACAGAGAGTTTGCTATCTTGCAATGAATGAAACTACACCCACAACAGCAGCAACAGTTTAAACCTCTCAGGAACACTTTGATATTTTGGGGAATGCACTTTCATTTTCTAGCTGGAAAAAAAAAAAAAAAAAAAAGTCTAAAACCCTTTTACACTTTGATTTTAACAAAATAAAGAAACAACATATAATGGTGTTAATTAATGAGCTTTAAAAGGTGCTGGTAGGTGGGTTTATTTCTTTATATTTTTTTAATAGAACCTGGCTGCCTGTTTCAGTCAGCCTTCAACACGCTGTATGCTATTTCTTTAAATGTTTGAAATATCCCCTTTAAAGTTTAAAGTCTCCTCCGTTCCAGTGCTGTTCAGTTCAGCACTAAGAACAGAATAGGCGAATGAGACCTGAGATTCACACTTATATAAAATATTAACATCGAACATTTCATTCTTAATCTTGGAGGCACAAATCTGTGGTAAATATTCTAATCAGAAGGACAGAGAAGGACATGAGATCGGTCAAAAGCAGCTGGAACAGCCACGTAAATGGACTTTAGAATATTTACCACACACAATTTATTTTAGGGCTATCCTATCTAGGGAATTCATTCTTTGCGACTTATAGGAGTGAATTTTGTAAAGTTTTCTTTTTCTCATTTATTAAGAAATGAAATTATTAAATAGAGCTACTGCATGTGTTAGTCTTGTGCTGGTTGTTGGGGGTTGTGTTGTGCATTGTGAGTCTCGTTGTGCATATGAATGATATGGATGTGTATTGATGTATCTGTTGTCACTGAAGTACCGTTGACCCCAGGAAGAGTAGCCATTGTTATAGCACAGTGGCTAATGGGGATCTAACTAAATAAATAAATAAAATATTTGCATCAATTTTAACACATTACCTTCTCTGTGGAAACCTTGAGATCTCAGAGGGACAGACTCACATTTTGGGAAAAGCCCCTTAGTTTCTACACCTCAGCACAGATTAAAACAACTGAGATGCACTGTGTTCATTCGTGAGCTTTAGAGGTGCTAGTAGGGGGATTTAGTTACCTTCAGACAGAGCCAGGCTACCTGTTGCCCCCCTGTGTTTCCTGTCTTCCTGGCTAAACTGTGCTAACCGGCTTCATTTTTTTTTTATCATAGAGACATGTGATTGGCTTCTCACCCACCTCTCTGCAGGAAAGTGATGATGCATATGTCCCAAAAATACACAATCTACTTCTTTAACTAAAATTTACAAAACAAGCCTCTCTGAGTCCGAACAAGTCATGTCCACGCAGTTTGGGTTTCTACCAACAGATGCGCCGAAGGGTCTGCGGCGCTGAAAAGGTTTAATCCAGATTAATCTGAATATTTCAAGACTATCTCATGGCTAAAATATTCTTCACTCAGCACACAACATTCGATCATTGTGTGCACAGTCGTAGCTGTGATGGCTGGTACAGTGTCTCTAATTAAACACAGACCCTGTGTTTTACCAGGCATTACAGTGATATTTAAAGCATGGCACTATGATTAAGTTCTTAGCATGCGTCTCCTGCTCTTCCTCGTGTAGCTCACTCCCTCCCTCGTGTGAAAAAATTCTCCTTCCCTCTTTTTTTTTTTTTATAACTTCAAATTGCGCAACACGACACGGCGGCTTTTATTCTGTGATGAATTGAGCCAGAAGAGAAAGACGCCCTCCTTTAGATTCAAGCACACTTCTTTGTTGTTCGCGGGTGTGTAGTCCGTGTGTGTGTGTGTGTGTGTGTGTGTGTGAGTGCGTGTTAGCCGTGGCTTATGTATGTTTTCAGTCACATTCCAGTGCCATGTAAAGAGCAATTTAGCAGCACAGATAGTATTACGGTGGGGTGAATTAACATGTAATTGGCACAGTCCTTCTGGCAGCCAGACATAGTTAAACTCCTGATACTGTGTGTGTGTGTGTGTGTGTGTGTGTGTGTGTGTGTGTGTGTGTGTGTGTGTGTGAGCAGCAGACAGGCTGATGACGGTACCATGTCCAGGTGACGTTCTGAGGTTTGGGGTATCCCCCGCTGTTGCACAGCAGCTCAGCTTTCTCCAAACCCACATACAAGTCTCCTGAGGGAGTGGAGATGGTGGCATCTGGGGGGTCTGACACAGAAACACAGACATGAGCATGCAGCAGCACTAAATATTCACCCGTAGACAGCATGTTACAGCACAGAGAAAACCTTGATGATCAGCATTTTTATCAGCACAGTCATTTAAAGAAATATCTTCATGCCCTAAACAAACCAGGTGAGGCTGGTTTTTTTTTCTTATCTTTATTTATCTAAAGATTAAGTTGCCTCAGAATCACTGTTATTACAGCAGTACTTCACATTCACACCGATAAAGACTTCAGAGGTGGCAAGAAGTCCTTGTTTTCTAAGTCTCATAGTCTTGACTATGAAATCCCAAGACCCAGTCCTTGTGTTGTGAGTCCTAAAAAAGTTTTTATGCACCAAATTTAATGCCATTTTAGACAGTATATCAATACAGCAGAATCATATTAGTGCTTTGAAATGTGTATTTGATACTTCAAAATAAACTCTGAACAATTAAAAGCAAAACTGATAAGGCGTGTTTTTGGTACAGGATGTTATTCCAGTGACAATTACATGTAATTTCTACAGACCGCACAGTCTCTCCATGTGAATGTGACAATCTGAGGTATCATCTGATGTCTGTCTGCTGGTTCCCCACTGACAAATGAATCTTTCCCTCCTGCTCGCAAGATGTGAGCGGCTGCTCTCTGATTGACTCCCAAGGTTCCTCAGTTGTCAGAATAATGAAAAGTTAATTTGCTGCATTTTTTAAAATCATATAAACTTTAATCTTTGGGCTCCGGATGCGTCTGTGCGTTCAGATTGAACCACGGCCACTTCCCTATGATGACGCCTTGACAGAACGACCGAAGCTCTATCCCTAAGACCCTTACCGACAAGGAAGTGCGCATGTTTTAATCCACACTGGTTGGAAAAAATACAAGCGCTTTGGATATCAGATCATTTCAAGTTAAAAAGCTTGAAATCAGGAGTCATTGGCCAAAGTTAAGTTGGAAGTCTGTTTTGATTTTTGTCAAATCGAGTCTAAAGTCAGATTCATGACTCCAGCCTGAGTCATGTGACACAGGTGCACACCTCTGGACGTCTGTGAACTGTCCAGTGTAATGGACAAAGAGCAATTGTTGAAGGAACTGACGTTTTAGTGGCTTCGACACAGAGTATTACTCAAACGCTCTCTTAGCAAGGGATCCAACCTGCCAATATTGTCTAATGTTTAGTGTACTGTCACCCATTTATTTTCACAGACAGAAGGTTAGGCTGTGCAAATATCTCTCGCAGGTTATTCAGAGGGAAAAAAATCTCATTGGTTGAATTTAGTATTAGTGGGAAGAGCTAAAAAAGGTGGCCTGGTGGAGAGAGCTGAACTGAACGAAGAGTAAACTGTGTCCTAATTCCATACTAAATACTGATTCTACGCTGGTTTTGAGAATGTAGTGTGTTCACACATCCCACGGCCTTGACTGAAAACTTTATCGTCCTTTGTATTTTTCCATATTTCGAGCCGAGTAAACCTTTTATTCACTGCAGACAATTTGACCTCATTGCAGAAAAAGCACAGATGTAGAGAATAATATAAATGATAGTTGCGTTTCATTTAGGTGTTTCTGTTTTTGTACATGCCAACTCACCGGCACGTAGTCCTCACTGACACACCTCAATGAAACACAATCATCAATGTTGTCGGTTAAACTTGTGCTTTTCCTGCTATGAGAGCCAAAGGCTGTCCCGGCTGCATATTACATGGTAACTGGAAACTCATTATACGATTTCAGATGACACCAGGAAAAATTCAGAACCAGACATACAGTATAGCATGTACGACTAAGAAAATATACAGTTATAACTAAAACTGTAATTTAGGTTACTACATCGTCTATTGTTGGTCTCTATTTGGCCTTGAACCAGTTTTACAGAATCATCACCATCATCATCAGCTGTACTCACACTGAACCACCAGGCGGTTTGAGAGCCTGCGCGGCCCGTCCAGGCTGGGATGCCACACTAAACAGTCCAGCTTTTTCCCATTCATGCTCCGCAAGGGGTGCAGGGAGTAGTGGCTGGACACGGAGCCGCCCTCGCTGGTGCGGTTCTGGGACAGGCCTGGCAGGTCGGTGTCCCAGGAGAGACGGGGAAGCGGGCGACCCACGGATCGACAGGTGGCGGCCACACGGAACGACTGGCCCTCCACCAGGACCACAGGCTCCAGGGAGGAGATGGGTGAACCTAACAGAAGAGGGGGGGGGAACGAAAAGGGGGGGGGGGGGGGGGGGGGGGGGGTGAGTTTAGGATTTCTGATGCTTTAAAGACTTGAAGACTTACAGCTTGTTTCTGTTAATCTATTAAAAATGATGACCTGGACACTTTATGTAATGCACATTCCCTATAATCAAGGGTAATCATGGTACTGAGATTTAATTAATACCTTCCACAGCCCGCCTCAAAGCTAATTTGTCTTTACCTAAAATCATCTAAAGTGACCGCAATTAAATCCATTAAAACCAGGATTTCACTGAATGCTTTTGTATGATTGAGTAGTGAATGTATGTCAGGGCAAAAAGGTCTTAAAGATCGTGTTATCAGGTAAGAATATGGCTACAAAAAAAGAAAAAAAAAATTCAAATTCCTTAAACATCCTGGAGAAAACACAGAGAAAACCCAGAGAAAACGTAATCAATAAAACAAGGCGCCACCACCAAGACAAATGATGTTCACAAGAGTGAAACTGACAACTCTTAAAATGGATATTAACCATGTAGAGGATTTCTCAACACTTACAGACACACAATATAGAAGTGATGTATTTCTAACGTCATCTTAATTGCACAACTGTTCCCTCAATGAAAAAATAGGTTAAAAAAAAAGAGTAAGTAAAGTAGTTAGACAAGATCTACCAATATAATTAATATCATTTTAAGTAGGGATAGTGCATTAATAATAAAGGACATTGTTTTGTTGGATGATAGCATCAAAATAGAAAGCATGGTTACCAATACCATCACAATGTATTATTTGAAGATCCCCAGCTCCATTTAGTGTCATCATCAAAGAAGAAGGTGTTCGCTAAAGGAGGTACAAACCTGCACAGCCAGGTTGGATCAGTTTACAGATTTTAATGATACATGGACAGTATGTGTGTCAATATGTGGCCTCTGGATGGACTCCATGTGCACATTCAACATTCTGTGGTTGAATGTTTACGGTCTAAAGCTGAGGGAGTCGAGGGAATTCAGCGCTGGAGGTTTTCTGTTAATACTCCGCATATTTCTGTTGGTTGGTCTGATATGAGGCGTGTTGGGACAGGCTTGAGACTTGATGATCTGTCACTGCTCATGTCATGTAGAACAGAACAGATATCGTCGCTCCAGCTTTCACTTCGAGGAGGATCCTGAAATCGTTTCACACTGCGATACTTTCAGGAAGTGATAAAGACGCAGGATCCAAAATACTAATACGTCATCTGACCTGGTGACAGGTTACTTCAAAGTATGTTGCTCTGTGGAGTTTTCTGTTCACATTCAGTTCTCCCCAAATCTCTCACCAAGATACAATGTGTGTACACGAGTATATCCTTTCTTTTCTCTTACGATACCTGTAAACCCGGTGCTAGGTGTCTTCTCTCCTTTTCTGGCTGCATTTCTTAGCACATTAACACCAACTGTAGATGAAATCACCGGCAGTAATGTGCACTGCGTTACCCGTGTGCATGTGCGTGACAAACAAATCACGGACTCACTCATTAAAACATTGCTCCATAGCAGAACTCGTGGCCAAAAAATGACATCCGGTACCTTTAAATTGTGCTGCCTCAACTGAATTTGTTTCCAGTGAAAACCTTCTTATTTTGAGTTTGGATCTGGTTTGAAGTGTTTTCTTGCTACTGCAGTGGTTTAGTAATCCACCTCCGCCTCATTTATTGTGAAAACATCGCTAGGACACACTAGCGGCACAGCAGCAGAAAGAGCTGGTATTTGAAGACACCTTAAGAGACCTGAGTTTTGGATACCAGCAGGAAATTCCAGATGCTACTGGAAGTTACTTGATATCATCTCTAATGCATATACTCTTTATATCTTTGCACTTTATTTACCTAATACTGTCATTCCATCTCTCTATATTATAATTTTACTGTTGTTATTTCTGCTTACTCTGAACATTGGAAATCTATTGCAGTCCTCCAGTGGTTTCTCCATTTTATTTTATTTTCCCCCTGTTAAAGGTTTTTTCTTTATATGAATCGAGGAGTCTCAGGATAGAAGTTGTTAAACCCTTTGAGGCAAATTTGGGATATTGAGCAATATAAATGAATGTGACTTGACTTGGGAACTTATCGCAAACTCAATCAAACCTGGTGGTTGAAACCCGTTTATCTTTTAGAGCAGAAACACCCTCTGCACCTTGCCTGGACTCAGAACCTGCTGGTGTTTTGAAAGCTGAGCTACTTTCTAACTACTGTGTCAACAATCTGCCTTTTGCACTAAAGAAAAGTTTTCTGCGCACAGGCAGATTGCGCGGTAAACAGTATTTTTCAAACTTGCATTTTACTTTTGTATTTTTCACTTGGTACTAAGCAGTTACTAAAAGAATAATAGGTGATTATGATATTATGTTGCAAAATATATTCTCTTTTTACTTTTCAGTCACTAAAACCTTTGATGTGCTGTCAGTGCAAGTGTTTGTGGCCACGTTGGCAAAACTGCTGAATTCCTTCTTCTTCTATGAAGATGATTATGGTTTAAATATCATTACAGCAGCTCTGATAGGATTAGGAAGGTGTGGAAGAGAAGAGCGAGAGAGTGAGAGGAGGAGGAGGAGGAGGAGGAGGATGAGTCTTACTCCAGACGGTGAGGGTGATGTGCCTCTCAAAGTTTCCGTTTGGGAAGGTGGAGATGTGACAGGCGTAGCTGCCCTCGTCCGACTCCTCCGTACTGGGGATGAGCAGAGCGGAGTTCTCCGTGGGGCTGCCGCTCTCGAACCTCACCCGACCAGAGTAACGCCCAAACTCTGAGAACAGAAAACAGCAGACTTCAGGCCAGATATACAGTATGTCTGTCATCGTTTACAAAGCTCAAATAGATTTAAAAAAAAAAAAAAATCCTTTGTAACAATATCTTTTCCTGTAAGTCTAAAGCATCAACTCCAAGAAAGGAAAATAAATGATTACACACTGGCAATATAAACCTGCATTTATCCAGTGATGTCACAACCCCACCCTGCAGACAAATAATCCAGATGCACGGGGGTATGATCTCACTCCAAACCTCACTGCAGTTCAAGCACACGTTTGATTTTCTCTCATTTACTTACATCTTTGCTTCTTTTTCCCCTAGACAATTTATATTGAAATCCAAGATAAAAGGTTGAGGTTGTTGTCAAGGAGGAAGGTATGTCTCTCATGAGCTTTGAATAATGAATAAGAAAGAAATAAACCGACGACCAACCGACTCTAATCTTCCGACCACAGCTCTGCTTCTCTGACCTCTGGTCGACCAGCTTACCCGTGTGGCCGTCCGTGAAGTGGGCCGTGATGATCTGGTCCTTGCTGCCGTCCGCGAGCTCCTTGTACCAGGTGACCTGCACCACCTTCTCGCCCTCCTCCACCTGGTAGCGACAGGGAAGCCTCGTCTGACTCTCTGACATGGAGCGCAGGGAGGCGTCTGGTTCAGGAGGCTCCACAAAGTCACTCTGCACACACACCACTGAAGAGGGGAGGGAAAAGACATTTTATTTATTCATTTGCTTGTAAAACAGTCCATCCATCCATTTCCAATACATCTCATCCTGTTAGGGATGGCAGGAGGGCTCCGTGTTATCCCATAAAGCACTGGGTGACAGACGGGGTTATACCCCATACAAGGTTTATATATAGACAGACAAAACAAATTCAAGCTCACAGTTGTACCTACAGGCAGTCGCCAGTTCACCAAACCTGCTCGTCTGTTGACATGCAGACAAAGAAGACACGGCATGGGGGGGCGGGTTTGCACGCAGGATCTTCACACTATGAGGCGACAGCGCTAAATACCTCAACAATAGTGCTTTTATATGAGTTAATACGTTCTTTAAAAGCAAATCTGTTCCCCGTTTGTATGCTGTCAACAAGCTGCAGTGATGCAGGCTAATAATAGTAGCCTATAGTATGAGGCTGCATGTTCCCCTTGTGCGTGCAAGAGTCATGCAGGTTGGCGACTCTAAACTGCCCGTAGGTGTGAATGTGACTGTGAATGTTTGTTTGTCTCTATATGTCAGGTGTAACCCGCCCTTGTCCAATGTCAGCTGGGATTGGCTCCAACCTCCCCATGACCCGTGAAGGACAAGCAGTATAAATAATGGATGGATGATGATTCTGTTATCACTGTTTTCATCAGTAAACGTATGAAACATAAGAAGTTTATGTTTGTTTTTTGGGGTTTTTTTTTTAAGGTTATGAGAATATTTCTAGTTTGGACGAGTTTTGATTATTGATTATTGTCTTATCTGCTTCTCCTAGGTCCCATTTGACTCTCCCTTGTTTTGCATTTTCACTCAAATCTTTTGACTTTTTTCTATTTTCATTAGTATTTGACGGATCTTGACACACTGACATATGCTTTTGTCTATAAGCATAATATACATCTCAATTATTGATGTAATCATTTGAAATACGTCATTTCAGTCTGTTTTTTTTTTTACTCCATTTTATGCAGAATTCTTTGTGTCATACGCTGTCATTTTTATTCAGTGTTTCATTGTGTATTTTGTGTTTTTACATTTCATGTTTGACTGATTCTTATCTCTGTTTGTTTTTGGTGAGTAGTTGGACAAATGTGTTACATGTAGGTTGTTTTACGGCAGAATAAAACCAAAGCAAACCGACCGTCCCCGGTGTTTGAGATTTGTTTTGTCTTCGCGATTAGTTGCAGCACCTTGTGGCGCCGATGTAAAGTGTTAACAGTGCAAACATGTTTAATAGAATATTGAATATTAAAAACCAAAATAATACGTTTTTGCAGCTCCGGTACAAAAAGACAGTAACTGGCTTCGTAGTTGACTCGTACTGACGTGTTTCACCATCAGAGCTAGTTAAATAACTATGCATCAGTGCCGACTAATGACTAAGACTGACTGTGCTTTTATCACACCTGGCTGAAAGTCTACATCGAACCGTGGGACATTAACAGATACGTAAGTGAAAGGGGTGTGAGAGAGCAACGCATCAACAGCGCAGACCAAACATTTGCCCTTTGATTTCTGGAGTGTATACATTTTTTTTCCCTCTGTGGTTACTGATTCTCAAACTTTATTAATGATTACAAAGAAGCTGATACGGGACGCAGGCTCCCACAGATAAATACATCCCACACACAGTCAGTGCAAGGACACATGAACAAAAGTGTGACACAGAGAAGACGGGAAACAGGTCTCTTTGCAAACACAGAAAGTTTTAATTTAGGTGACAAATAGCCACAGTGTTTGTGACCTAAATGTGGAGTGGAGAGAGAAAGAGACAAACTTAAATCTTGTGCAGTTTGATCATTGATGGGAATGACGGGAAAGAAAGGGAAGAAACAGAGGTAGAGACAGAGTAAGACTGACTTCAGAGGAAGGCAAAGAGAAATGAAAACAGTCAAGAGAAATAAACACCAAATTGAAAGAAAGACTTAAACATACACTCCTCTCACACACACACACACACACACACACACACACACACACACGGCGTTAGACAAACACGAGTTCACCTGAACGTCACAAGGTTGCCATTCAAGCTTTTCCTGTTCACTCAGGATGGCAGTGACTATATCACACCTGTGGCTGCAGGTAACAATCATAGTCTAATGTGTACACTTTGTGTTTTTTTTGTTTTTTTTTAATCGTAGCAATAGTGCTGAAGTGTTGCCCCAGTGTAATCTCCACTAAAGAGGGAAACAAAAGCAGCTGAGCATTGACAGAATTAGTCACTTAAAAGAGGAAGGCGCAGGGTGAGCAATAAGATGTGATTCATGTTTACTAAAAGTAAGAATGTGACGGAGCCGCATTCTGTTATGCCACTTCCTTCTTCACATCTGCAGGCACAAACAGGTAAATTACTTGGCCAAAAGTATGTGGACGTCTGAACATTAGCCACAGATATTAATCTGCTGCTATCGCTCCCTCCGCTCTTCTCTTCACTTCACTTCAGGCATTTCCGCAAGATTTGGGAACCAGGCGGCAGGGATTAACCCCGATTCAACCACAAGAGCATTAGTGAGGTCCAACACTGATATCGGGTCATAAGGTTCTGGCTCACAGTCCATGTTTCGGTTCATCCCAAATGCGTAAGACTGGGTTGAGGTCAGGACTCTGTTCTCTGGGAAAACCATTTCTTTAAGGACCTGGCCTTGTGCACAAGGGTTGATACATGTTGTTGAAACAAGAAAGGGCCTTTGCCACAAAGTTGGAAACACACAACTGTCTCAAACAAAAGTTCCCAACCCTTTTTTGGCATGAAGTTGGCATGTAGCCTCCTGTTTTGTGTGAAAAACCTTTAGGGCCTGGAAGAGGTAAAATTATCAAGTAATTCACCAAAATAAGCAAATCTTAGAAGAAAATCTGAAAAAATCTTAACCCATTAAATTTATCTTATGATCCCTTGGTAGGGTCCCGACACCCAGTTTGGGAAACACTACTCTAAAATATCATTGTATGCTGTATCATTAAGATTTCACTTCACTGGAACTAAAAAGTCTGAACCAAACCATGAAAACCAGCCCTTCACAAATGTCTCAGTAGAAAGGGGTGTCCAGATACTTTTGGCCATAGAGTGTATTTCTTGAATGTACTAATGAAATATCATTAATACATTCTCCTCCTTTAAATGACAATCATTATGTCCATTTATCAACGGGAAAAATGTAAACTGTGTCACCAAGATCTGGTGTGTCCACATACTTTTGTCCATTTAGTGTAACTACAAAAAACACTATTCAGACAGTAACTACGAGCAAAAATAAATTCACACTCATTTCTGAAGGAAACCAGATCTGTACAGACAATTTTAGGCTCATAGACATTTGATATATACAGTGTAAGATTCATAAAAATACCAAACAGCCTCACTCCAGGTGCTCGCAGGTATATTATGGTGTTATTGTAGGAAGATGATGGTTGTGTAATATAAATTACCACAAGCTACTTTCCCCCTTTTGACGATATTATTGTCATTCTGTGTTGAATTAATACATATATTTTTCACAATTTTAGAATTTACTCTTTAATCTGAACCACTCTGAATACATCCACCACTTAAATAAACAGTAAAAACGGACAGCAGGGCTTTTACATAACAGTACCAGTGTTCATTGTCATGGAAATGAATGTAACAGAAAACTCACCAATTAGAAAAATCAGTGCCAGGCTCTTTGCCCTTTGCCCGACCGACTCCATCTTTGCTCCCAAAATAAAAGTTGCTCTTAATCAGCTTCCTTCTCGGTTGTTTGAGGATGATATCAAGCTTTCATTATCGATATCTGCGTTTAGTTCAGACAGGAAACTCAGCGGCAGCAGCGATTAGGAGTCCTCGGCAGGCCGTGCAGGTGCAACAGGTGTTTCCTCCTCAACTCACACAGCCTATGACTCTAACAAACTAAAAACACTACACCGCTGTCCACTAGCAAGACCTGTATGTTGTTCAGTGCAGGTTGTGAACTGCATTAACTTCATTTCGCGCGCAAGCCAAAGTCCACTTCAGCAGCTGGAAGAACGACTCAGCGGAGGAGTATCAACACATGAAGAGATAAACACTGGGAATTATGTGAGAAAATAAAAATAACAGGTTGAACAGACCAAATGGAAAACCTATCCGCTCGTCACGCACCGAAGGAAACACCTACAACACAGATTTGCCCCTCTACACCTGTCTGCCTTGGCTCCGCCCACATTTGCAAACTGGACACGCCCACACTTGATGCCACGTTCAGGTGATACTAATTAAGTCGGACATGTGTTATTAGTATTATATAGTATTATACATGTATGAGTTTATAATTCTGCACTCTAAAAGAGCGTCTTAAGGTGATTTGCAATACACATGCAGGCCTTATAAATGTGCTTTAAAGTGACAAATCTTTATTTTCCCACCATTGTGTGAATATTAAAATGTTATTTTCCTATTTATTTGGAGCTATACATCTTGACACAAAAATTGCAGCGTTGAACATTCCTTCAACCTGTGCTGATAACAGCTGGATTACAAGATTCAAGCGCATAAATGTTCTGAAAGTGTTGCAGTTATCAGCTGGTAATGCTAAATGTTACATTTGAGACTGGACTTTCTGAGCTGTGGACAACTCAACAGAGAAAAAGTCAAGGAAGAAAAGTCTGAAGCCCACTTCAATTAATAGTTACAGATAGAGTTGTTGTTGTTGTTGTTGTTTAGGTGGTTTTAAATTAGTACAGTTTATTTTGTGTAACCTACAAGTTTTAATGCTTTGGCCCTGTAATGATAAACTAGTTCCTTCCCAATGGTTGTACTCCATCAAGTTTTTTTTCCAAAGTAGCATAACACATGTTTTTTTTGTGATAAAATATCTAACTAATTCAATTAAATATAAATTAAACATAAGTTTACATTCTCTTCAATATCTATTAAAACACTGTGTCATGTCGACATATGACAACAATTCTAAAGATCACAATTTTGAATTTCCCAGGAGGACTTGAACGTAGCGCGATTTCTTGTGAAATTCATCTACACTCAGTTTTACCACAATAACCAGATTGTTTACCTCTGACAGGAACATGTCCCTGTTGTTTCAGCTGTTTACCTGCTGACTTATTGTAATATGATGTTTAATGGGAATCAGTGATAATGATAGTATGAATGAAACATGTACGCATACATTAATTAATGAATACTACTTGCACCATAGTTCAAATATATTTGTGACGCTAAAATTTGTTTATCCCGACCTTCCTTTGTCTCACAAGCCAGGTATGTTGCAACGGTTTGTGGAGGTGTAGTCTCTGAGTGAGTTTCCTGAGCCTCAGGGGAAAACAATGAATGAACATGAAAAGATATGTGAGATTTATTTGTTTATTAAGAGGATTCAACCCATTTTTTGTTAGATTTTCCCCTAAAATTGCTATTATATGGGGAAAAAATTAATAAATTAAAATGTAATGGTAAAAATGGCAGTTAACATAAAGCGTATCACAGAAATCAAGTAACCAAAAGTTTCAAAAATTGACATGACACTTGTTGAGACAAATCTAATGTATTTCAAACATTGTAACAGGATAACCAGCTTGATGTGTCAAATCTATATTTTAGGCAAAATTCAAGCAAATTAACTTGAATTGGCTTGAAATTCGTTATATTCTGTAAAAAGTGTGAAGAGTTACCATATTTTCCCAAGTCCAAGTTCCAGTCCAAGTAACTGAAGCTCATGAGAAGCTTAAAACCCCTAAAACTGCTACATAAATTCGGACTAATCAAATCAAGTTTATAAGTAGATTTTAGTCGATAATTGGCAGAAAATTAATATTTCATCTTGTCAGTTGTGAGATCTTGCTGATTTTGTCTGATTTAAATCATTACAAACTGAACTTCTTTGGGATTTGAACAGATGAGACAAAGACAGACATCTGTAAACGTCACTTGGGCTTTAGGAAACTGAGATATTTTTCACCATTTCCTGACATTTAATACACTGAAATATTAATTCCAAAAATAATTAGCATTTTAATTGTTAGTAAAAAATACCCATCAGTTCCAGTCCTGTTTTTGAGGTTAAGCTATTTCATGTTCTTTCAAATAGTCTGAAGTGAAAGACCAAAAGAGGGAACACGAACAGAAACAAGAGATAAAATTAAACTTCTGTCTTCTTGGTGACTTTCGTAAAAAACATGGAGCAACATGCAGTGAAAACTCGCTCACATAGATTTTAAATTAGTAGTTTTAACATTTCATGCATGCACATGAAAGGAGGAGGAGGTTTAGGAATAAAAGTAGTATATATCTTTTTCTTTACAAAAAAAAGGGAGAAAATGTAAATGTAGAAACACTATGCACAGGCCCGCAACAAGTAAAAACAACTTAATATACAGTATAAAGGTTGTGTTTTTGTGCACAGCATCCTCTCTGCACCGAGTCTCCTTTGATCAGACGATAGACTTTTTATCCGTTCTGATGGTCTCGTAGGTGTCATTACTGGGAGAGTAGAGACCCTGCAGAACACACACACACACACACACACACACACACACACACACACACACACACACACACACACACACACACACACGAAAATACCTGATGTAAAAACTAAAAATGCACTTCTACAAAACAATGCTGAGACCATTTCCTGAGTCTAAATGTGATATTGTTCTCTCTGTGACAGCCAGGTAGGTCGTCCCTTGGCTGAGCAGTAATCTGTCACTTTTCCATCATGTGCCATTTTAAATGTCTTTTTAAGCATTACAATGAGAAGTCTCACCGCATAGATGCCTCCCTCAGCGGGCTGCTTCTGTGGGATGGAAACAGTTCAGATAAATTATCAAGAACGCTTCAGCAACAGTTGATTCTTAATAAACGCGATTGGTGTCTGAAACATCTAGTCCTCCTTTGAGCCTGAGTTGTAAAAGGCATATGGGTGCAGATTATTGAATCTATTCTAAACTTTTAGGATTAACTCAGATGAGTCTTTTCATGCGTAACACAATGAGCAGGAAGTGGGATCTCACATATTTGTTTTGTGCGAACATGGTGGAAACTGTGAGTGTGTGTAGTGTATAAATAATGTAGGTCAGTGGTCAGCTCGAGCTTACAGGAAATGAGAGTCTGGAGTCAGCTATAAAACAGAACTACAGCATTTCAGGATAAAATACCACAAAATGAAGGCAAAACCTTTAAAAAAAACCATATATTTTCCCAAGCATATTTCACTCAATCATAACTGTCTTGTATATACATTTTTTCCACAGTTATGTAGATATACAACTTTGATTTTACCTCAGCAGGCGGTTTGGTGGTTGAATGCATCTGTCAAAAATAAATCAGAAATTGGATTTACACTTCAATGTGTGAGATTTAACTGGTTTGTTTAACAGTTTAACAGTACAGGTATACTCAAGAGGATGTTACGTCTAAAATCATTTACAGCGGAATAATCTGTCTTTTTACAAACTGGTGGAAAGTCTTCATGACGTGTTCCACTCAAAAGTACAGAGAAAGCTTATCTTAAGTCTTCAGATATTGCATTTAAATGTGTTTTTGTTACTGTACAGCCATAAGGAGCAGTTCAACACTCTCTAACATTCATCATGGTGGTGTGTGCTGTGTGTTGTTCCTGTTTCTCTTACCCTCAGTCTGCAGTATAAGACGGTGAGAATGATGCCGTAGAAGATGAGAATCCCGTCCAGGATATAACATATGCCCATGTCTCCAGTGGTCTCTGTACACAGAAATCACATCATCATGACCTTCATCATTCACCATCGTCACCTCCAGCAGAAATGTCAAGATGGCTGGTAGCGTTTCATCCACATAAAGGTAGAGGTATTTAAAAAAAATTTAAAAAAAGAACTCAGAGAAGTGACATTTATTAATCCTCATCAGCGCAGGTGGGAGAGAGATCATCAGAAAGGCGGCGATGAGCAGCAACGCTCACACCATCTTACCGAGGTCGGGCTGCAGATAAGACGGAGGGGTCTGTTTGGTTGCTCCCTTGACGGCTGTCGGCGAGACTTCTTTATAACTCTCTCTGAAGTGAGCTCCGAGATCAGCAAGCAGGAAGTCCGGGGCTCTCTGTCCGTTCTGAAGTTGTGAAACCGCACGCCTACAGCACTGCCATCCTCCCTTCACTGAAGTTCCTCTAAAATGCTTGTGAAAAACACGCCGCTTCTCTTTGGTGAAACGAGTCCAGCTTTCAAAACAATTAGTAGGAAACAGAAACTTTGCAGCAGAGGGCAGACAGCCAGAAATTATGTCATAAAAACCACAAATACCAAAATATATCTGGTCATCTACCTCCCCTGAGAATTCAAGCGACTTACGCACTCTCTTCCTCATTTAAGACAGCATCAAAATGAGTGACAAAGAGAAGACTGATAAGGAATAAATGGTTTAATAATGGAAAAACGCCTTACACACTATACAAGCTACAGTTACCAAAAGGAAGAAAATACGAGACAAATCTACAAATTTTTTACAAGCCACTTGTTTTTCAAAAGTAAAAACATTCAGAAAATTGCATCGTCATAACTTAGGCACCTTAAAAATGATAGAAAACAAGTTATTATAAAAAGGTTTTGGAGCCTGAAATAACTCTAGCATGCATTTTTAAAAAGAAAAAACAAAAAAAAAACAAACATCTGCATTTTGATCACTCATGAAATGTCATACACATCGGACCTGGTACTTGGATTTTTTTTTTTGACATGTAAAGGGCTTTTTAAAGCACATTTTCACTGGAAAGGAAAGCATACAGTCAGTCGTGCTGTGGCTCAACACAGTGTAGGTAGATACAACAGAGTGGCTCAAGTCTCAACATCAGGCGACTTTCAGGGTTTTACAGTAAGTTTTCAGGACCTGGAAAAGAAAAAAAAAAAAGAGGAGGAGCTAGTTTGAGGGACAGATGTGGCCCGATGGCTGCTCCTCCAACATCTGGAGAGTAAGGCTGAGAGAGTTAGGAGGAGGCAGCGTGTTCACTGTGCTTGTTTCAGCTCGTGGCACAAGGCGAAGGCGGTGATGCGCTACTGCTGCAGAGGAGCTGCAGTGAGGAGTTACAATCACACGTCTGGTTTGGGATTTTTGTAGAAATGCATTAAAAAATAAAAAATAAAAAAATTCAAACCATAACACGTCAGCTCATAGTTTAACTACAGCTGCCTGTTTAGAACTGATTTCCTTATATGCACAATGTTAAAAAAAGACCCCATTTACACCTGATATTAACATTCAATCTGCATCTGGATTCATTATCTAGATTACAGACTCGTGTCCTTGTTATCTTGATCCTGCACAGACTATGATCTGATTTCATTATCATCACTGTCCGATGAAAACCATTTGGTAATTATGACATTTTCACATAAACTGAAATTTTAAACTGAGAAAATGATCCATTTAATGAACAAAGCACTGGATTAGCTAAAAAATGACCTTTCCTCATGCGTGTTCCTCTTACAGTCATGAAAAGTTGACAGACATGGTTCCCACAGGAAAGTGGTGATGTGCAAATTAGGCAAGGGGAGATGACAGATGTGTAACCAGCATGTGATGGAAACTGACACTGCTGTATGCGTCGTTTTTATTTTACCTGACCATGACATATTGTGGTCCAACTGCAGCAACTTCCTCAGCAGACGGAGCTGCTTCACTTCACAGGTGGCTGTATAAAGAGAGACTGTGACTCCGGGCTCTAGTGTCAGCTGTGGCTGTTCCTCCTCCTCCACAACTTAAAACATCAGCAGAGCTCCAATTAACCATTATTTTCATTATTGATTAATATGCCGATTATTGGCTTGAGTAATTAATTATTTGTATCAAATGTGCGTCCTCAGTTTCTCAGAGACAAAGGTGACGTCTTCAAACGTCGTATTTGTCGAAAAATCCAAAAGATGTTCAGTTCAGAGAAAAGCAACAGAAACGCACAACTGATAACCTGCAGCTATGAATTTCTTTGACCCAAATTCTTAATCATTCTTCGAAGTTGTTGACAATTAATTCATTTTCTGTCAGCCAACTAACCTACTAAATGTTTCACCATGACAACTGAGCAATTGCGGCCAATGAGAAAGCTTTAAAGGTTTTTTCACAATAAGAAAATGTCAGAATAATACCTGACTCATGCTTTAACATGCTTATCCAAATAAGGTGCACATCGCATGTTAATACCAGGTGTAAATTGGATCTTTGTTCAGATTTCCTGTTAAAACTTGTGATATTAATAGTAAAAATGCCAGTGTAGAATAAAACTAAAGCTGCATATTTAGACAACCGTGAACATACAGAGTCTGGAGTAGCAACAACTGGAGGAATGTACTTCCATTTTTCTTTACAGTCAGATAAAAAGACATTTGGGCCTTGTGGCCACAGAAAAGCAATGTGTTAATTCAATGCACATAATGCTACATTCTGTAAAGTGTAAAAAAAAAAAAAAAAAAAAAAAAAAAAAAAAGTCACACCCTCTAATATAAAAAACAGTCCTGGTCATGTCAAACAAAACAATACACCAACAGGGAACCAAGAGGCAGTGGTACACCAGCGTTGCAGTCAGAGCTGAGCGTTGGTCTGTTCGTATAAGACACAAGAAAGAGGAAGTGACAACCATGATGTAATCACCCTCCTCTGGTGTTCATGTGTTGAGTCAGCACAGTAAGTAGTCCAGTGGTTACAGTGAGAGAAGAGGCAAAAGGACAAAAATTCCCCTTTCCAAAAAAAGGTTTTGTTTTTTTTTTTTTTGTTTTTTTTTTTACAGCGTGTTGTAAAGACCAATACTTCACAACACAGAGAAAGAAAAAGTCAAGGCATCCGTTTATTTCCAGGTTTAGACAATCGTTGAGCTGATCACAGTTTGATATCAGAGCATCTGTGATGATCAAAAAAAAACAGGAGGAGGCGTCACATATGTAACACTCCTTTTCTTTGTCACAGACGGGGGGGAAATGATTGGACGAGAACGGACCACAAGGCCTCCACGTGTCCCACACATCAGCGATCCTGGTTTAGACACACCGAGGTCTCACACCGAGGTCTCCGACTGCAGCCTCATGACGAACTTGTGGCTCTTTGGGTCGATGAACTCCTCCCCCAGCCTCAGGAAGGGGAGCGGCGTGACTGTGACCACCAAGGAGAAGTCCAGGCGTCGCAGGGAGAAGACCAGACCCTGACGCAGGGCCGAAGTCACGGGCTCCTCGCTCACCAGAGTCCACTGGCGCCCCCTGCCGTTCTGCTGCTGGTACTGCATGGTGGGGCCGGGGGTGAGGTAACGCTCCAGGAAGGCCTGACAGGGAGGAAAGGGAGAGGTTAATTACCATGAAAATGTTTGATATTGTGGATGCTGTGATCCATTGGGCCGCCCTGACAGGCCCACGATTAAACTTTTTTTTTTTCGTTTTTTCACACCTTTGTGTTTTTCCTAATAAAATTGTCATTTTTAAAAAGTTTCACCAAGTGCTACACATATTCAGAATCAGCATAACCTCAGCCAATGTTTCCTTATTTTAAAGATTTAAAAAAAAAAATTTTATTTGAAGTTTCTATCTTTATCTGTTCATGATTTCTCTGTTTAAGGGCGTTTTTTGTCTGCTCTTTGAAAAATCAGCTCCAAATCCTCCGCTGCACTAAATATGTGACTGTCACCGCAATAAACATAGAACAACCTCTCCTCACTCTGAGCTCAGAGTAAAACAGCTCTGCTCCCATTCAGTCTGGGTATACAGCCAAGGCAGGCCAAGCCTCTGAATCAGACACTCTGATTGGCTGTGACAGTTCCAACTGGAGCCAATAGGAATGTGGAATTGAGACAGAAAGCAGCAATGCGCCAAAAAAAAAAAAGGAAAACTACTCCAAATATTTCATAACTTTAAAGGTCAGTGTATCAACCGAAGCCAGTGACAACACATGGACAAACAGGAGCTTGATAGAAATCGCCGATCGTCTAGTTCAAGGAGAAAAAATGTCTCTAGCTCAAACGGTCGCGGAGTAAGGACGCTCTAAAGAAAACGTGAAATCTGGAAGCGTAAACGCTCCCGTGGGCCTCACAGAAGTCAGATAACAAAGGTTGTCATAGCTACAGGGATCACACTCTCTCACCTTGGGCGTCATGTTGTGTGTGATGCAGAACTGCAGGTGTGTGAGGATGCTCTCCATGCTGTGGAAGGCCTGCTGACGGGTGGTCCTCAGGTATTTCTGCATGGCCCGGGCCATCGGAGCGAAGATGGCCTGAGCCGCCTCCCGAGGATCCATCACCTCTCTCGGGTGTTTGGGGGACGAGGCGACCTCGTCCTCGTGGAGACGCTTGATGTGTGTGAAGGCCTCTTCCACCGCCACGACCAACCTGGAGAGTTCGGGAGCAACAAAAAAAAAAAAAAGCATTGTAAGACAGATGTGTGGTTATTTCTCAACAGACTGTCTGTAAACAACAAAACGCTTTGTTCAATCAGAACTGAGTGATTGTGGAGCTTAGAAGACAAGGAAGAGGTAAACAAGGCCATATGTCGGCTGTGCTCTGGTAAACATATCTTGTGAGAAAACACTTAAATAGCTTGAGCAGGAATGTAAACATGTTTTAGTTGGTGTCTGTACGAATTAACCATCAGAAACACAAAACATTTCACATTTCACCTTGAGAATCTGTAAAAAATTTAACTATGTAATTTGATGCAGCAGCTGCCAAAGTTTCCCAGGAGGTCCTTGGCTGAAACTGACTGAGTGATTTTATTCATTCACAAACAGGCACCCATGGGACAGCCCCAAGACGGGCTCAATACAGGTCAAAGTGAACCTGTTGTTCACGAGCACGACAGCCAAATCAATATGTCTGATATTTGCAGGACACCCTGCCAATATCATTTCAGTCATATCTGTCAGCACAACATGCATGCTCGCTATGTCAGTGGAGCTCAGCAGAGCCCAACACACACACACACACACCACCACACACACACACACACACACACACACACACACACACACACACACACACACACACACACACACACGCTGATATCTTTTTAAATAAGGATTCAAGCCCTTGTCTGTTACTTAAAAAACAACCCATACAGGACGTTCCATGTCCATTATTATTTTTCACCTCTTGTTCTTATTTTCCCTCGCAACCTCTCCCATCATACAAAATGAACTCTGCGGGCGGGAGGGAGGGAGGGAGGGAGGGTTTATTAAGTGTGTATTTTTCTTTTGTGTGTATTTATATTGGACACTGGTTCTTTTATTCTCTTGTTTTTTTTGTTTTGTTTTTTTTTTTGCTTGTTTTTTTTTCTAATGAAAATGTAGACTGTGTTTTCATGTCCCACATAATGCTATTTTTTTTACTCAATAAAACATCCTTACTGACCATAATCAGTCTCTTATCATGGTGGTGATCATTTACTAGATATGTTTCTGTTGTCATTTTTATAGACTTAGACTTAGACTTAGAGAGACTTAACAGTAGAGAGATGATGAGAAATGAGGAAGAGAGAAGTGGGGAATTACCTGCAATAACCTGAGATAGTGTGGTTCCTACTTTTTCTCAAACACGTAACATAAACAACCATTTTTAGGGTGCCTCAAAATGATGTACTGTGCAGGATGTTTTACAGTTGACTAATCAACCTGTCAGAGCTCTATGAAATGTTTCTACTACTATTTCTCATTACTCATCAGCAGACAGATACTGTGTGTCGTTCACAATACATCTGTGATGAGCAAATAGAAGATTTTTTTCTTCCTTGCCCGCTCTTGTTTCTTCCCCTTGTTTCAACTGGGAAACAAATGGGCTAATGTTTGATTTATGTGTTATGTCAGAGGAGGAAATGAGAGAGTAAGATCAGATCTGAACAAAAACATAAATCATTTTTGAACTAGCACGTGATCATGCGTTTGTGCTCACAAAACACACTCAATCTTTTTCTGTGCATGCCCTGTACGCCCATTGTTCTGGCAACATGGTGTAAACTACACCTTGCAAATTGAGACAGATTGACTGTTCAGCCTAAAACCAACACTACGGTCGTGTGTTTCCCTCTCTCTCTCTCTCTCTCTCTCTCTCTGTGTGCACACACAGTCTGTCTCCTGTGAAACAGCCGCCCCCGTGAATCACACACCACAGGGAATCACTTCCAAGTACTGAACACATATCTGACCTGGCCTTGCGTTTGCGGATCCTGCGGTCCATCTCTGCCTCCTCGTAGTAGAACTCGTTGTGGGAGTTGTCTCTCCTCCTGGCAGCAGCTGCTATCATGGCCCGGGACTGACCCGTGGAGTTATTGGTGGTGTTTTCTGCAAGACAACAACACGTGCAGAGAGAGAGAGACGAATTAGTGGATGGACTCTAACGGTGAAGTAGTTTCAGGTGAAATTAATCTCATCCAGATCTGAGTAAAAAACAAAAAAAGTTGTAATCGACCTTCGGTGACAATTTTAAGTGCTTAAAGTTTCAGCCTCGACATGTGTCATTGTATGTGTCAAACAGCGATCAACACACGAAGGTGACGATTGAGGAAAATGATGAGCGATGGATTAGAAAAGTGGCATCAGAGCCACCATGACGGTGTATTTACCATCCAGGGAGTAAACCTTGAAGCCGGTCATCTTCTTGGACAGGATGGATTTGGGCAGGTTGAGCAGGGCAGGGTTGTAGACGGGGAAGTCGCTGTAATAACGGTCCAACACCCAGACAGCTGCCCGCTGGATACTACAACACAGAGTTAGTCAGTAAGTGCTGGTCCAACCTCAGCTGCTGACTGGACAAAGACAGACTATACACTGCAATAATACTGAATGACAGTGTGATTTCTAAAATCAGTTATACTTTTATCTAAGCAGGGAGTGACTGCAAACAGGTTTATCTCCTGCTCAGATGTTTCTATAATCAGATTTTATATATTTTATACTTTTATGTTCCTTTAAGCTTCCAAAGCAGAAAAAATAAACTTAAATGGATCAAATCAGTTGTCCAAGCTGTCAAACAAACACTTTACTTTACTTTTCTGGAACAGTATGTGAGGCAGGTCTAACTGTCCTATAAATTAATGCTCATCTCTATACAGGAATACATAAAACCGTCTGATGTCTAAATATGAGGACACACTTGCTATGAAACAGAAATGCAGAGACACATGTGCAGTGTGCACACATAGTAGACACTGTATATCCTTCTCATTTGTAAATAAGAGGAGTTTCGTAGTCTTAATAAAATCCCTGATGGAACAAACTGTAACTTTAAAGCCCCTTTGAGCAGGATTTGAAATTTTGTGAGTTAGCTCACAACACTTCCTTCATATGATGTCCTTGTTTTTGAAACAGGATGTTGGAACAGGATATTAAGACAGAGGGAAATCAATCAGAAGTGTAAACCAGTATAAGTCACAGAGAAAAAGGGTCAGTTTGATTTGAAAGCACGGGTCGAAAGCTAGGATTGTTGAGAAATTTGTCATATCTCTGGCTGCGCGGCCACTAAAGGTCAAGAGGTTGTGTGCCTATTTAACGGGATTTCTAACCAATATTATGGTGTTTCTAAAGGTCAACAAGCTTAAATTCTTTATTGTCAACATCATGACGATACACAGAATAAAACTTGCTCATATTTTGTTGAAAATTCATTTTTTTTCAACTTGTATAACAATATAAGTATTAAGAACTTTGTAGTGAACTTGACATATTGTTAACCAGTTTCCAGGTCCGGTCTCACTAACCTGAGGTGGCCCACGTTGTAGAACTTGCTGGCTCCGTCCGTGCTCCGGACCACCTTAAGGCAGAAGGCCGGCTGCAGGTGTCGGACCTCCAGCAGCACCAGAGCCAGGTACTGGATGAAGAGCAGAGCGTCCACCAGCGACGCAGCGTACTCCACAATCCCCCTGTAGTCCCTCTCCCTGGGCTCCAGCACCCGCACGCCATAGAACAACCAGTACGACGCCACGAACAGGAACACCAGCACCATCAGCAGGCAGCGGAAGACAAAGAAGCGCGGCAGGGTGGCGCGAGGAGGGCGGAGGAACAGCGCCCAGGAGGAGATGAGCAGGACCAGGAGCTTGAAGGCCAGGGACACGTAGAGGCCTTCGCAGGGCGTGCCGCAGGGCTCGAGGGCGTCACGCCACAGGACCTGCGGGAGGATGAGGAAGGCTAGAGGCGTGACGAGGGCGAAGAAGCTCAGGCAGCCCCCCAGGGCGGGGCCAACGAAGCGCTTGCACTCCAGTGGAGTCGACTCCTCCAATTCTTTGGAGACGCGGGTCAGGTCCTCGTTTGAGATGCTGTGCTCTGAGGTGCCGGTGACGACCGTGGTGGTCTCTCCCCAGTTATCATCCTGTCAGACCAGGAGAGAGAAATTAGTTTTTACTGTCTGATACAGCGTTAGTAAATACAACGGCTCAGTGGTTTTAATTTACAATGCAATAAATCCTAATGAACAAAGAAGCTTTGAAGCTTTTACCAGAATATGTTTGTTCTTTTCACTTGATAAAATCATTTATTACATCCGACTAGTCCTGAAGGGCTAGTTTCTCAAATGTGAGGATTTGTTTTACATTTATTATATATTTAGTAACTGGGTTTTCAGACTGTTTTATCATAATATCTCAGGCTCATGGAACATGTGTTTGGCATTCTTCATTATTGTCTGACATTTTCTAGACAAGCAATTACTTAGAAATATTGAGAACCTCTTCTGAACCAAGGCAGAAAATCTGTGGTTGTTTAAATGAAAGGTTCGTTTAGGAGGAAAGGAAGAGGTGAGCAAACTCTTCGTTCAAACGTTTCAACCTTTCATCTAAAAAGAAACTATATTAAATTATATTCAGCTAGGGCTGCTGCTAACTAATTATCTTCATTATCGATCAATCTGACAATTTTTGTCAATTTTTTTTCCAATTAATTAATTGTTTTTATCAGAAAATGCCAGAAATTTTATTTCAATCTATTTATATTATTTATAATTTCTCCATGTCTTGTGTTGTTTGATCAACAGTAAAACATCCAAAGATATTCAGTTCACTGTCATGTGTGACAAATAAAAGCATCAAATCCTCATATTTCAGAATCTGAAAAGGGCAAATACAAATTTTGCTTAAACAAAATCACTAAAATCCCTATTAGATTATCAAAACAGTTGCTGATTAATTTTCTGTTGATCGACAAATGAATGAATCGACTAATCGTTGCAGCTAAAGTTAAAATGTTTTATGAAGTTATGAGAGGAATCAACCCCTGAACATCCTCAGCCGCTCAATATCCATGTTGTTTGTGTCCTTGTTGCATTCATGGCCCCGCACTGGAGCCAGAGAGGGCGACTGCTTGGTTAAAACTTAAATACAAATGCCTCTAGACTATTTAAAGAAAGACGCCTCCTCCCTTCATCTAGGCACAAAAATGTCACCTAAGGCTCCTGATTGAAAACATGCCTCTTCACTTAAAATACTGCCTCTTCAATGTCGTAAGACTCAATTATACAAATGTCAACACCTGCTGCTCCCCAGTGACTGACGGGACACGCAAGGATTGGAGTGAAATGACTGACAGCTCCTGAGAAACACACTTGAGGTAAGTGTAAAAACACACTTCTACAGGAAGCGTCCTTCCCATCCTTAAAGTGGTAGGACGGAAATTTATCTTTATCCACCGAGATACTGCAGCAAACAAAGTAGCTGTTAAAGTACCAAACAAAGAATTTAACCCCTTTGGAACTCCAGTTGTCATCTCCACAAACACCAGAGATCTGAGCTGCTGGCCTTTATTTCATTGGTCACAGATGAATAAATGCAGCTTTAAAAACGGACAAACTTGTGACAGACAGTGCGACTGACCCGATCATCTCCGCGGGTTGACTCTGCATCGAGCAGCGGCTCTCCGGGCGTCTGGATGGTGACCGATTTGTCTCCACGACTGCTGCTGTCTCGACTCTTAGAGCGATGACGATCCCTCCGATCCCTGGAAGACACACACACACACACACACACACACACACACACACACACACACACACACACACACACACAGGGTTACTCACTGTGCACCAATACTGCTTCTTTCACTGTCCTTGTTAACAGCGTTTTGGTGCGGCAGGTTCAGGGTCTGTCATAGGAGACAATTCTTTTTATGTTATTTTTTTCCTTTTTCTGCTTCTTTTCCCTCATGGTCATTATAATTATGTTGATTTTATTTTGAAACACTGAATGGAAATATTTAAAAACTTGTCTCTCTGAGAGGATTCGTTAGAGCACAGACACCACGAACATCTTCAAGTACCAGGTTAAGATCTTAGAAAGAAAGCTTGCAGAGTGTTCCTGTCAAGGGATATAGTCCTTTTTTTTTTTTGTGACACTGTTTCTCCGCACAGCACATGGTACCAGATGACTGAGACACTGGATCTGAATGTTTCCTGGTAACAACATCGACCCAGGGCGATGCTGTAAATCATCATTCTGATTAGTGTTCAATTTTGGAGTTTTTGTCAAGTGTGCTTTCATAACCAGAGATCCATTTGAAGTCCCATTCGAAAAACAAGGCACAAAAATCTGTGTTATCACCTTTGTGGGGAAGCAACCGCCACCATGTAGTCTCCAGCTGCAGCTATACACAGCTGCACCACGTACTGATGTAACTGCATCACTTAGAAAATCAACCATTTCCCTGTTATAACCGATATCATTTTTAATTAGAAGTAATGTGTATTTAATTTGGGAACATGTGAATAAGCACTCAAGAAAAAGGCAGAGTTCTTGTTGATAATCTAATTACACTGTTTAACAAATCTCGGAAAGTGTAATTAATGTCATTTTTTGTTTTGATATTCAAACTTGTCAACAGAAAGAAGAAATTATGTCATCTTCTGGTTTGTTTGGGAACTTTTTAAGATACTCCAGTCTACCTGCTTGTGGCATATATTTGTATACTGGGTAGGTACAATAGATCCCACCAAAACAACACATACACAGGAACTTTCTGAACATAAACACAGTGAATGGCTGCTGCTAAAATGCCAGCCAGAGAAAGATGAGGATAAAATGATGTCATGTATGTGACCTCTGTGACCCACCTGTGCTTGCGGGAGCTCCGGGAGTGGGACGACTTGTATGAGTAGCCCGAGTACTGCGACTCGTTGTCCATGTCTCGGGTCGGCGGTGAGCGGGCTTTACGAGCCCCGCCTCCTCCTCCACCCCCCGTGCCGCGCTGCTCGCCGACTCCTCCCAGCTGGCTCTTGCGCTCGGAGATGGACTTGGTGGAGAGAGCCAGGGGCAGCTTGAGCAGGTCAACCTTACTCCTGAGGGAATCTATCTTGGAGGCCGATGAGGAGGGAGCAGGAGAAGGGAGTCGGGAGAGCGGGGGAGGCTACGGAGAGGATGAGAAGAGGAGGAAGAGGGATGGGAGAGGATGGCGGGTAGGAGACTCGCAGCAGGGGAGAGCTGAGGCGGCCGTGATCTAAAAGAGATGGGAGAGGAGAGAAAGTTGGTGAAAACCTTTTTCACATCAGTATCTGCTGTGGATCTCATTACTGCTGTCCATATTCTTATCTGTTTTAAATTATGGTGTTACACTGTGTATGCATGAATGACTCAAAACATCCTCAGCGTCTGGTTATACATGTGAAGTGAATGGACTTCACCAAAAATACAGAGGAGGGTTTATATGCATCCTTTCATCTGACAAACCATTCTCATTGAACTTCCTGCTTCGCATTTCCAAACACTATCACAGCAGACCATCTAGATGGATACACTTCAAGCTCCCCAGAGTCTATTCTGAACTTGGCAAAACTTCCTTTTCATATTATGCATCCTGTTCTGGGTATAATCTACAAGATAAACATCACTTGGCAGCACTTCCTTCATATCAGCCATTCACACAGTACATTTAACAAAAAAAAGTAAAAATAAGGAATGTAATTGTTTACAGTGAGACTAACTTTTTAAAGACCACAACCCTGCTCTTACGCATGAAAAGTTAAATTCAGAAGCAATAAAACACACTCTTGTTCAATTCAATACACTCTTATTTGCCCTGGTTTGGAAAATATCTTATGGCTATAAGCTATAATATTAGCAAACTTTAGATAGATATTGCTTTTTGCAACTGACTTTACTGAGTCAGTTCACTGACATTAAAACTCCTTTTTACTTATGTTTCTGTTACACTATGTTTTAAGCAAAGTTAAATAAAATAAAGAGATTAAAAAAATCTATTATTTTCCCTTTGAAAGGCTACTGCATTTCCTTAATCTGCAAATAAATTCAGGACACAACAGCTTTGAAAACCAAAGTATCGTCTCATCACCAATCATCAAAGCAGCTCATCATCAAACAACTTCAGTGCAACATAACCTTGGCTGCAACTATTATGCGTGCAACTATTTTTCTAAGAATTTATTGGTGAGTCAATAAAATCTGGAAAATGGTGCCCATTGTAAATACTCAAGAGATTATATTAAAATCCAATCATTAAAGATGAACATTGCAAACTTATCTTGAAGCTGTTTCTAGAATTGTGAACCAATTATCAAACTTATAACCGATTAATTTCTGTTGATTAAGTGATTTGTTTATGTCATTACAGGGTTACACTTTTAGATTTAACTTGTAACAATTCTAAACACAGTTTACAGTGACATGCCAGTGTTGCCAATTTACTGGGCAGATGCTGGCATTTTATTAGATATTGTCAGGGCCAGTCATGCCATTTCAATCACTATTGATCATGCCATTTCAATCACTATTGATCTGCAAAGATCAATAGTATGGTTTATTTCTTAAGTGGTGTTTTTTGTATATATCTTTAATGTGGTCTTAAATTAGGGTTGTATCTAATGTTTATTTTCTTTATTGATTCATCTGTTGATTATTTTCTCAATTATATTAACAGATTTGTCTGTGAAATGTAAAGAAAAAAGTCACTACACATCACATCTTCCCACCGCACAAGGTGATCCCTTCAAATTGCTTATTTCATCCAACCAAACAATCCAAATATATTCAATTTACAGAGACATAAAAAGGAGAAAAGCAGCAGATCCTCTCAAGCTAACCCTCACCCTAGGAGCTATGACAAGCAAATGTTTGGCATTTTTCCTTGAACAACAATTAATCAGCCAATTGTTCAGCCCTGGTTCAAATGAAAACTTTGGATGTAGCATAATGATCTAAATCTTTCCAGCCTGTCAAGAATAAAACTGTGAGACTATCACTAATAAAAATGAGAATTTGAGTGTGAGAACTGTCCAATTTCGAGAAAGCACAAAAAATAGTCCCTCAGTGTCTATCAGGATTAGTATCAAGTTTCAGAAGGGTACATCAGTCAAGCATGCACATCAGTCAGTTTAACTGTACAAGTATGATGTAAAATATGAGCCTATGTATGTGTTTGTTGTGAGAATCAAACCTCTCACCCTGGCACACTGGGCGCTGTGATCTATCCACACTAAAACACATTGACCCACTGAACCGAGGCTCGAGTTTCAGCCCTGTCTTCTTATACCAAGTCTTCCAGGTCTCAGCCGAGGTTAATCATCACACGACTGTATCTCCTCTCACCGAGGAACGAGCTGGAGCCGCCGTTAGCTCGGAGTCGGAACACAATGGCGGCCATATTGGATTACTGTGTTTTCACTAAACTTGTTTGCCCTCTCCCTCCCTCTCGCCGTCTCACATTCCCTCCCGCACTCCCCTCGTCCCCCGGGAAACGGGGGGCCTCTCCGCTGCCATGGCGATGAAAGAGAGTGTTCAGCTGGAGGGGGATTGGAGGTTGACAGTTGCCGTGGAAACGTGACCTCACGCCGCCCTCTACCACTCTGTTCTCCATGCTGCCGAAAAATCGCCAAAATAAAAGTGTTGGCATGACGGATGTTGGACTGTCATACGCTGGTTAATTGATAAAGGGAGGGTGTGTCTCGCGGGCTTTGATTGGACCTCTGTGGGAAATGAAGGGGGACGTTAGCTGCCGTCACTGTCTTTACAGGGTCCTGCTTTAACTTAATGTGGCTTTTATGCTCCGTCACCACCATTGTCCATAAAATCCACTTCCCTTCAAGCCAAATACTGTATGACAGCGAGGCTGCCTGTGGGATTCCAGTGAGTTCCATATAAACCATTCCCCCTTTGTTTTAAAGTCTTCCAGTCATATTTCTTCTGAGGAGGAAGTGCCCTTCATCCACTAACAAAATGCACTAACTTCTACCAGACCAGAGAAGATTTTGCAGCCCTGCAGCCATGTGTAAAATCTCAACAACATGCTTCTTCCAAACCACAAAACTCCAATGACTAACAGCCTCTACCTCTTCTTTTTTTCCTTATTTCTGTGCTCCGTTTTCTTAAGGGCCTTGCACTGATGTTAAACTTGCCATATAATATAGTACACTTTCTACTTAAATAAAAAGAAAAACAGTGATACTGTAACTACAGAAGTCATTTTACTGTGGTTCTACATCTACAGAAAGTACTTATCCGTGATGATGTAACTACACAACACTTTTTCTTTGAGACTGTAACTACAGGAGGTGCTTTTACTGTGATTCTAATACATGAGGTACTTTTGCTAAGAGACTGTAGCTACAGGAAGTGCTATTACTGCTATACTGTAACTACGAAAGGTAGGCTACTTTTGCCGTGATACTGCAACTACAGGAAATGGTTTTACTGTGACGCTGTACTCTTGTACTCTTGGAGTATTTTTACCCTGTAGTATTTACTTCAATAAAAGTTTTCCAAAGTCCCCCCTCCCAAAAAACAGCCTCTTCCTGGTGTATGATCATAAGCTGTTCTCTCTAGTAATGGCACTGAAATGAGGACCATGCAGGAAACTGTCATTTTTTTTCATGTTGACCACGTTAACTCTGCAACAGCAGAGTCTGCCATCTGAAAGTCACGCAACATGAGCAAATTTTGTATTTTAGATAATGTAGAATTGCATGAACTGACACTGAAAAAGAACATAAAAAAAATTCAAGGCTCCCACTTAGTCCTTCTCAAATGCTTTGAAGCATCTAAAGAACAGATTCACATGGAGGAGCAGATTTAAGTGGCGTGTCCCAGAAAAAAAAAAAAGAAAAAGGAAAAAGTGGACAATAAGATTCCCAGACTAACCGCAGATTTTTCTTGATTGGCAACAGACCAAATGTAAACAGTGTTTTTATCTAGTTTCCGTGGAAGTTTAGCTGCAACTTGCCCTCCCAGACAGAGAAATGTTGGCCAAAATAACAATCTGAATTCATCACTGGCCTCAATGTTCAGTCAAAAAAAATAACAATTAAGCAATTACACTAATGCTGTCCGTATTTCAAAGCAATTACACCACAAGATGACTCATTATAAAATGACTAACCTCAGCAACATATCTTCCCCTACACTCGACATCTATGAAAATCACACATTTAACGATGCAAACTAAGATGTGTGGTTCTGTTTACATGTCATGATAACTGCCATGATGACTCTTGCATATCTTGTCAGTCTTCTGTGTGACAATAAATGTCTTCACAGGCTTCACAGACACAAACATGTCAAACCTCTATCTCATTAGCAACCATAGTAAAAGTCATTCAGGGCTTTAGAGAGCAATTATAAGACCAAGAATAGAAACCTAAATCCCTGCTAGTGACCGCTAAAGGTGCGAAACAAACACGTTGGACTGAGCAAATATTGCGGTGATAACTTTAAAGTTTGTTCTGAGGGCGGCACTAAAAGGAAAAGTCCTTAAAATCAAAAGGGGTTTTATCACCTTAGATTAGGAGAAATGTTGTGTGCAGAGTTAATATTTCAGCCTCATGTGGGTGAAAAAGGTCATGAGGTTTTTAAAAAATGAGCAGAGGTCATCCTACAGAGAACCCAGTTGATTTCCCGTGTCCAGCTGGAAACTTAAGCTCACTGGTGACACCTCAGGTAAGGTCAGGTAAAGCCAAAAGGATTCATCCTCTAGGGACCATCAATATGTGTTGTTCAGTATACTCCATTATTCATTTGATGATGAAATAGTTGCATTTTCTTTGCTGGTGTACTCACTTGACCTAAACTTGCCTCAAATACTTCCTACATTTCCCACAATGACTTTTGGCGTTGCACTGAGATGAGACATTAAATTGATGCTTTTAATCAAAGGCGTGCGTCTATGCATATAAACTGACCTAGGGATGGGAGCAGTATGAGTAACATTAGTGCCACAATAATTACCACAGCATCATCTTGATGCTTATATGTGATCCAAAGAGTAACAAGTCAGGTTCATTACCACCACACTGGGTTACACGTTTATATTGTTTCATAAATCCAAAACTTTCAAAAACAAAAGATTATTTTCAAGCATTTAAGATTTTTCATGCTGTGAAGGAAACTGAAAGAA